CCGCAAACATGGGGGCTCCATGATGAGCCCACTCTCTGGATCTGGAAGTGCTACAACCGGCCAAGCAGACCAGCTGCAGCAAAAAGAGAAGCCTCATGGCTGTAATGCAGTGAAAAAGAAAAATCCAGCATGAATGTATTGAACAAAACCAGAAGAAATGGTGATGATAACAAACCAACCCTTCCAGAAAGATGACGAATCAGAAAATAGAGTACAATCTCTCTAGCAGAATGCCAAGGAAACAGCTGGCTCACATGTGTTCCTCTTCTTCTTTTCACAGCTGGACCAGCAATTCTTCCTCATACCCTTCACTCTGTTTGGTTTTATTATATCTGTCTCCCCTCTCCGCAGGAACATTAACAGTATGTGTCAGCCTCAAATACACACTCTCTGTTGTCGCTGTCCCTTTCTGTTTATCCTGCCTTATCTGTGCTACACACCAGCAAGATAAATTGCATTCTCTTGTCAGTTTCAGAAATCCAGTCAAGCTTTCAATGGATTTCACATTCTGCAAAGCACATTTGATTTTACATGCTTACAAATAGCATTTACATGGAAAATACTGTGATGCATTATGTGGTGACTGTGGAATAGTTCCATGCTTTCTTGAGAAACAATTTGCAGTTCTATATGAGTAACATAGAAATAGACCCAGCAACTGTACCTGTAGTTGTCCTCCTCTTTCAAGTGCTTTGTAAAACAAGGTTAATCAGTCCAGTGCTCCTGCTTCTGCAGCTGAAGGAAGGTCTCTCACAGAAACAGTAATCAATAGACTGCTGCTTATATTTAACCTCCTACTTTGCTGTGACGGAAGCTGATTGGCTAACACTGGGTTGTAAATATGATGAAATAACCAGTGCTCTTTTAAGACTGCAAGGTAAGTTTGTTTGTGGCACACCTTGTTTAAGTGAGGCAGCCCAGAGTGCTTTATACAAAACAATGAGGGCATAAAGAAAAAAAAAATGCAGGGCAATGTCAAAAGACACTGAAAAAGACAGAAATAAATGTCTTCAAAAAGAGTGAAATAAAAAACAGAAGATCAAAATGATCAAAAGTAGAAGAAGACAGATAATAAAATTACCTGGGTAGATTCAAAGCAGCACAATGAATGTAAGGCAAACGGAAACTTATTCATATTCAAAAGAACTGAGAGATGGAGCAGAGTTACAGACATTTCCTGAGGAAGCTGAAAGAAGCCTCTCTCCCTGGCAGCATCCTCAGGACTTTTCTTTTTGCAGAGGTGTGGTGGAGAGCGTTCTGACGTACTGCATCTCAACATGGTCCTCCAGCTGCAGTATGTCAGACAGAATTGCCCTGCAGAGGACAGTTAGAGCAGCTTCGAGGGTTGTTGGAGTTTCCCTTGCCTCTGTCCAAGAACTTTTCCAGAGCTGGTGCAGAAGCAGGGCACTGAACATTGTCAGGGACTCCTCACACCCTCTCCATGAACTGTTTGAACTGCTGCCATCAGGCAAACGTTTCCAGAGCATTAAATGAAGAACCTCCAGAATGATCAACAGCTTCATTCCACAAGCTGTCAGAATGCTGAACTGCTGATCCAGATATGCAAAAACTTCTTATTTAAATTGCTTTAAGTTATTGGATCCTGAAGAAACACTCTTTCATCTTGCCTGTACTACTGTGTATGTACAGCAAAATGACAATAAACTTGATTTGATCTGATTCATTGTCCATAAAAATGGAATGCTGCTTCTCCATACTTTGTTTTGACTCATATGGACAGCAATCAAACCTGTCCGATACCATCTGAGAGGTCTGCATATTTTGCAGTGGAAAACCAGATCATAACTAAATTTTGGTCCTAAACCATACAATGATTTCTAAACCAGTTACCTTTTGTAGCCACTTAGGGTGGTGACAAGGCTAAGCACAGGCACCCCAACCAGTACGTAGCCCCATACACAGCAACCACCGTATGTCCTGACAACTCGCTGTCACAGCCAGAAATCCACATTAAAGTTTTTAGCAATTTGTACTGCAGTTGTTACTTTTGTGGGATTGAACCACACAGGCCAGCTTCCCTCTCCATTTCTCATTAATGAGCCCTTGTGTCACCATTTGCTATTCCACGGGCTACTTCTGGTAGGTACTAACCACTACATTCCAGGAAACCCCCACAAGGAATGCAGGAGATGCTTTGTCCCCGTCATCGCCTTTACAGTTTATTCCTTGTCAAAGTCGCACCATTCCTTCTGCTGCCTGTTTTTCCTGCTTCCACACTCGTGTCATTTGTCTGTGGTTTCAAGGATGTGGCTAGTCATTGTATGATACTGTGCACGAAACACCTTCAGGGAGGCACCTGATCAGCCACAGATGCATGGCAGTGAAGAGAAACATAAAGACCTGGAAGCCTTGAAGATGCTGCTTGTGAATCCAAATGATTGGCCTGTGAAGGATTTGCTCTGTGTTGATGGCAAGTGTGTTCAGCTGTCTGTTGAAATCACCGTTGTTCAAGCATTTTCTTGACCTACTAGTGGTAAATGTAAATTAGGTTATAATCAATACATGGAGAATAGCTTTAACAGTGTAGGATGTTGGGTTTCTCAGACTGTACTTTATTAAAAGTCAGCAATAAAAAACAATTAATGCCAGATCATTAATATGCTTGTAGCTACAAGCCTCCACCTATTTTGAACATCTGCTAAGGGAATAGAGTGCATTAATGTAGCATCTCCCAGGGGAGAATGTGTGTCGATTTAGTGGTTGGCAGTACAGCTTGAAGCTTTTTTTTTTTCCATCTTTCTTTATAAGACTGTAGGAAGACATTAGTTTTGATTGATGTTTTACAACCTGCAATGCATTTATTGTGACAAGGTTGCACTTCGCCCTTTTACTCCCTTTCAAGCAACTTTATGGGGCCCAAGTGAAAATTGCAGATCTAAGTTAACCATTAAAGCCTTTTCATTTCAGATGAAATTTAAAAATGTTTAAACAACTACTGCTTTAAGCAGTCATCCTATGATATAATGTTACTTATGACACAACCTCACCTTCACTTATTTCTTTTTTCCTACTTGTATACTAGTTTTTAATATTGTGTTCAACAGTTAATAACAGCAAGAATAAATAAAACCATGTGTTCAGACTTGCCCGAGACAGCTACTTCATTTCATCCTGAATGTTAGTATTGTATTACTCACTGTGCACTGAGGGCAAATCAGTTTGACTGGAGATGTTGCTGCCTCTGTAATTCACTCTCAGTGAACAATGTGTGTGTAATGAGCCAGTACCATGTAGCCTTTTTGTAAAAATATCCATTCAAAGTCCGTACCTAAATTTCGCAATGTGTGGTAAAAATAAAAATAAGTGTTTATTGTCAATACGTAATATAATGAAATTAAAAAGATCCAATGTGCAGAATTCAGGTGGGTTTATTGGCATGATGCACTATAGTATTATTTATTATGTTTTCATTAGTGTATAATAACCTAAAATTATAATTAGCTATGTTCTCATTCCCATAGAACAAATCTTTTATACATACAGAGGGAGTGGGTATTCCTCTGCAGACTTCTCCATTTTGCATTGCCAACTTTATTTCTTTAGCAGCATAGTGTGGTGGTAGAATAGTCAAGTCAAGTGCTGACTCGAGAGAGGGGTCACTCAAGTTTTGAGGGAAACAAACTTTTTACAACCAAGCACACTCACATTCACACCTATGGAATCACCAAGTAACCTCAACATGTTTTTGGACTGTGGGAGGAAGCCGGAGAACTCACAGAGAACATGCAAAATCCACATAGAAAGATCCCGGTGCCCCCACCGGGACGCGAACCGGCGATATTCCTGCTCAACATTAGCCCTGTCAGTATGTTCACATGCCGACATTAATATTACCACTGTGCCTAAGTAGAGCCTCACAGAGCCGCGAGCACCGCTGTGGACTCTAAATGTGGTTTCTGCTCTCTATTGCTATCTCTACTCAACCATCTTCCCATAAATGATAATGAAGAACTAACACAGTGACCCAGTCCATTGTTATCTCTATCAAGAGACACAGTGTTTCCACAGCTGCAGTGCAAAGCAAGCTGGAGGTTACACTGAGAAGAGGAAAAGAAGTCAATTATGACACACTGTTTTGCTTATGCCATTAGAGCAAACCCCCTGTGACAACAATACCTTCTCCTTTCTTTCCTCTGAGCCCAAGCTAAGTCCAAGCCGTAGCGTGGTGACAGCTGTGTTTGAGCCTCCTTACTTCAGGGTCAGGAGGTCAAACTTGGGATATTGGTGAGTCGAAAAGAATTCAGTCTCCATGTCTGTTGACATGCTTCATTGAATAAATGCCTATCATCCTTCCCGAAACGCCTCTCTTTACAGGATTAGGCTGTGACAAACATCTCTTTATTCTGTGTCTGAGACTCCAGCACCCCCACCATCACCTACAGTGTGCTGTGATGTTTGACGGGGCCAAGTCAGAGGATGTTTCCGTCACAGGTCCAGTGACCAATGCCTGCCACCCCAGCTGTGACCTTACCACTTTCACCCAATGGTAGCAGTCTCAAAGGCTACTGTACATCCCAGAAGTGACCCCCCCGCATTTAAAACCTCTCGGGCTCCACCGGCTCCATAAGTAAAGTATCACTTCTTTGAGGACCGTATTACATACTGCTGGAACAAACAGAAAGGAAAACAGTCAGGACAGAAAGAAGGGAAAATAAACTCCAAAACAGCACGGAGTTTTGTTTTTTGTCAAAGCAGAGGTAAGTGCACCTTTTGTTAACAGCAGGCAGGTAAGATTAATATTATATAAATGTAAGAATTTATTATAAGTCGATTTAATCCCACATAATCATAATACATTTGAATTAATCTTGTTTTAGATTGTTAACCTGTCTCACTTTTATTACATTTCCTCCAAAGCCAAATACGTTTAGTTACAATTGATGCTATTTTGTTAAATTCACATGATAAAAAAACTAAACATAAAATAAGTTGCTTGTCTTTTAACAGGCAATTTGAACACAAATACAAGTGAGAGAGTGATGGAGACACTATTACTGACTCTGCTTGGTCTGCAGACGGTGATGGGAATGAGGTGAGTAAGACTGGATCAAAGCAGGGTTGAGCACATTTTGCAGACCGTACAGTCACTAAAGTGGGAAACACATAACATGATAACAAAAAGTCATGAGAATTATTCATGTGTCTGAATACACTGTAGTTTAATCCATAACGCTGGTTGAAGTCATACATGAAAATTCATATTGAAATATTGCTTTTCCAGTGATTTTTTATTTCACTTACCCGCTGACAAACTCTTTCCTATTTCTTTCATTAGAAATATAGTTACTGTAAATATTTGAATTTAAAGCCAAGGCAGTGTGATGACAATATCCTGTTATTTTATTCTAAAGCAATTATTAAAAATATATTTTCTATACGCTTCTATTCAGATTTGCTCTGATTTCCTCAGTCCGGGACTTTTATATCAGTTATATGCTATATAAATTTTAATTATATTATATTATATTATATTATATTATATTATATTATATTATAATACACTGTGAAATTAACATATAGTTTAATAAGCGACTGAAGTCAAAATATTTATGTCTTTATGTGGTAGTTTTTCAAATCAATGATAGAATATTTTGTATTCACTAAAACTACAACTATACACTTAATCTACCTCAATTTTCTGCCGTTTCCCAATTCATAATTTTTTAGTACATAAAATGTAATAAACATTAATGAAATCTATAGGGAATTCTCTGCTCTAAAAACACATGATTTAATAACGTAACTTAAAATTGTCATGGAACTGATAAAAGTTTCCAGTCATGTGACACCCTCAGGCGTACTCTAAACCTTCAGGTTGCTGTGTGGTGATTTAAACATGTTGTGTTCAAGCCGTTTTTTATAAACTTTTTTATACTGAAATTCAGGACCAAGAAGAAACTAAATGCATGTTCTATTGTGCACCAAATTATTATCATTAAATCACATCTTTGTGTCAAGTTCCAGACACTGGTGTGAACGCACGGTGGAGGAGCGAGTGGAGCGAGTCCTGTCCCCACGTCTACAGTTAGAAGTGAGCTGTTCTGAAGTGTATCAGTACAACACCCAAGGTTGGAGGCTGGATGTGGACAGGATGCGGATCAAGCATGGAGGTGATGATGGCATTGCCATTTACTACAAACAGCAGGGGCCCAAGGCATCCTGTTTCTTGTACAAGTAAGTGAAATGTTCAGTAACTGGCTGCTGATATGTCTGACACAGCCATTTATGGGGTTTTCTTAAGCAGCCAGAATTTTATACGCAACAAACCCAACAAAACTAATCATGTCAACTTGTGTGAACTGTCCGCATTATTATTGTTCTTCCAGTTCCACATGCATGGCTGAATTACTCCAATATTACTTGTCATTGTGTAGTTCTACTGAGTTTGAATAGAGTAATAGATGAGCTGGTGTGCTTAAACTGCAGCGACTGGACAGGGGTGGATGCAGAGATAGGTGGAGACTTCATTGATCCAGAAATTCTAATCGAAGCAACAGCATAGATTTTCATCCAAGCTATTTAAAGACAAAAAGGATTATTTTCATGGAAAAACATCTAAGTATGTGTCTAATGGAGGACACTGAGTTTTAGGGGCTTGTTTAACACCAGAAGAAGGACTTTAAAACAATGTCAAATGTGGTCACCACATTAAATATAATAAATTATTTCCAAACCAATTAACTTTCATTAATCAGAATCAGAATCAGTTTTATTGTCATTATACGTTACATACACATAACGAAATTGCAGTTGGAAGTCTCGGCTTCCAGCAAAAAGAAGAAAAATGGCACAAATAGACTTATAAGCACAAATAAGAAAGTAATAAACACGAATAAGAAAGTGCAAAATATATAAATATAAACATTGTAAACATAAGGGAGAAGCTGTTGTGTGAGTTTGGGTCCTGAAACTCACAGACAAGTTTTTTTAAATTCACAAAATGAGTGAAAAAAATCTACTTTTCTGAGACAAGTCAAATAGGATTACCGTTGGCAAAATTCACACGTAGTGGAGTTTGGTAATCCTACCAGTGTTGCTGAAGTAGATTTAAATGGAGTAAATCTTGTCTAATCAAACATCGATTACATGTTAATATGAAGGGAACCCCCTTACTTTACAGAGACCGGTGTGGCAGTTGAAAGACGCATACAACATTCTAAATGTACTGCCTTGTTTCCTGATGTCTGTCTATCTCAGACCCCCAGAGATGGAGAGCCAGACGGTGAACAAGACAGTGAGAGCGTGCTGTGAAGGCTGGGGAGGACCACACTGCTCTGAGGGTGAGGTCAACAGACCAGTGAGTCAGTTCAATGCAGGGACAGTCAGGTGGGGAGGCCAGGGGTGGCCACGACCTACTAAAGTCTGTGCCCCCCCACAAAACCAACTGGGAATCCCATTAGAGGTCTACACACACACTCAGAGAACTGGAGTTACATCCAATAACTACAATTTTGCTTATGAAATTGTGGGACCATTTCTCTCAATTGTTGTTCCCATACGGATGCATTTTAACACATTCAACCACACAGAACCGAGTAACTCGGACCAACCAGAAAATGTTTACACCGATTTTGTTGCAATTCACAGATTTTGGATTATTATCATTAAAGAGCATGTAGACAGTATAAAAATTGCATCTGTTTTTATTAGTTCAAGTGTGTATGATTTGGGTTTAACTGCGGTTTTATTTAAAGCTTGTGTACAAACTCTTTAGACTGTGAAGATGAAACAAACTGAAAAACACAAGACTGATCCAGAACCTGCTGCAAAAAGAAATAAACTAAAGTCTGAATGTCTTAAATAAGTGGATCTCCTGAGCAGAACAAGACTCTTTTGACATAAGTACTTTATATGTAGCCTACTTATCTAATGTCATTTTTAATTGTAGATATCCTAAGAGTTTTATCAACAATTAAAAAAGCATAACTGCACCAATCAGATTTTTGTTTAACTGTGGTTCACATAAAAAGCTAATTGTACTGTATAAGAGTTCTAACATGCTTCTATTTTTCAGTCTTGCCTAAATGAATAAATGATAATAAAAAAAAAAAAATGACCAAAACAATGACCGATTTGATTTAAAAAAAAGAAAAGAAAAAAAAAGAGAGAGAGGCATGATGCCACCCTGATGTGAGTAATAGTCTCAGCCTGGCCACCCCTATAAAACACACCTCTCACTGTTTCTGTAGTTTTTTGGATTTTTCTCTTTGCAGCCATTTTCTTCTCATTTTAAAAGTTGCCAGTTTCTCTGTCCTCTGCCTTCAGGTGTAGGTGTCCGTGGTCAGTGCTTCTCTACGTGGAGCTGTGAGGATTTCCCTGGAGTTCATAACTCCTCACTGATGCCCATGGAGCAGTGCTGCAGCACTCTGTGGGGGCTGAGCTGGAGGAATGCCTCTGACCAGACCTGCCTGTCTTGCACCTACACTCTCCTTCCAGGTTAGAGAACACATCATAGCATTACCTGTTTTCAAGTATTAATTTATGACCTACACCAAACATATTTCCATTTTTCCCTAAAGTCCATGTATTAGTCTGTTTTAGTAATATTGCCCTCAGATGCTCACAAACTGTGCTCACATCAGGGATGTTTTACCCACATGACCACTCCCTCTCCTCCCCAGACTCCCAGTCCTCGCCTCTGGTGCGTAGTGGTCTGCTGGCCAGTGCCAGGGTCCCTCAGGGCTCGGCTACCTGCATGTCCTGGGGTGGAGCCCACTACCGCACTTTTGACAGGAAGCACTTCCACTTCCAGGGCAGCTGCACTTACCTGCTGGCTTCATCTACTGACGGCACCTGGGCCGTCTACATCAGCACAGTCTGTGATGGTAGAGGAGACTGCAGCAAGGTAGCGTTTCCGCCCTTGGCCTTAATGTAGCAGTAAATAAACAATGGTTGTAATAGAAACACACTTTGCCCCGTGACGCTGCGTAGGATATGCTATTGTGCAATAATAACAGTGGTGATGGAAATGTTTGCCTATAACTTTGTACAGTTGTTCTGTATGTGTGTGTTAATGTATCCGTGGCCTTCTGCTTTCAGGCACTGAGGATGATGCTGGGACTGGATTTGGTTTCAGTTCATCACAGGAACTTAACCCTGAACAACCTCCCTGTTCCAAATGGAGAGCCCCTTTTTCAAAATGGTAAACTATTCTGAGCCTTTAATAAAGCTGTTGCTGAGTTTCTTCTCCAGTTTGATATTATTAACCAGGCAAGATGAGAGTAGGTTAAAGTCAGAGAAAATCTCACCACTCTCATGACACATCTGGTATCTATTCTTATCCAACTGAATTAAATGTAAAAAAAAAAAAGGAAAGAAAAAAAAGAAAGAAAAATGTAAAGAAAATTTTACTTCTTAACAAATTTCTACTCAGTTTCAAGTGTAAGATGGGATTTCCTATTTTAAGTTTATCAAAAAAAAATATTGTTTTGTGTATGTGTACATGCAGTATTTTCTGTTATAAATAACTATTTCCCCCCAATATCTCCCAAATTATCTGGTCAGAAACAACACAAACAACACATTTAAAAGTTTTTTATTATTACTTTTAATGTATTTATCTTACATGGGATGATGTACATTAAACATCATCCCATTAAATGTACGTGTACCTGAATTAGCCAAAGCCTAATTTTGACTCAAGCTTTAGCCATTCAAGCGTTCCATAAACTGTATATAGAGATCAATAAAACCATCATGATGTCACCTATAGGTTCAATGTGGTGGCTCCAACTCTCACCGTTTTGGCCGAACCTGACTCCTCCTAATCCAACAATGAGCACAGACATGAATGAAGCTTAAGAGATGCGAACAGCGATGGGCCATTTATCCAGATATAATTTAGAAATTGTTAGTCATGCTTTTATCTCATCTCATTTAGACGACTAACTCTCTGTACACTGTTCTTAACCAGCAGAGTCTTCACAAACTACAGCTGGTCCAAAACGCAGCAGCTCGACTCCTCACCAAATCCAAAAAGAGAGATCACATTACTCTTGTTGTAGCTTCCCTTCATTGGCTTCCAATTAATTTTAGAATAGATTTTAAGATTTTATTGTTAACCTATAAAGCACGCTCTGGACTGGCACCTCAATACATTTCTGATCTCCTCACCCCATATGTGCCCGGTCATTGCCTGTGGTCCTCAGCCAAGGCTCTGCTCACCGTCCCACAGTCGAGGCTGAGGACCAAAGGTGACCGGGCCTTTCCTGTAAGAGCCCCCATCCTCTGGAACAGTCTCCCTGAGGAGATCAGATCTGCAAGCACTTCATCCTCCTTTAAAACTCTTTTAAAAACACATTTTTACAGATGTGCTTTTACAGGAGTTGTTTTATGAGTGGACTTTTACTCCGTTTGATGGCAGCATTAAGGGCAGTACATTTGATCTTCTAACTGTTTTATTCCTTCCTTTATTGTCTTTTAACTGTCTTCTTTTACTGGATTTTATTTTTCTTACATATTTTTATATTGTTTTATTGTCTTTCATGCTTTATGTGTTTCACCTTCACCATTTTTTATTTATTTATTTATGTATTTTTTTGCCTTTTACTTCTTTTAATGTTGTTTAATGTTGTTTTTCGTACACTTCTCTTTGAATCTGTACAGCACTTTGCAACCCTGTTTTAAAAAAGTGTTATATAAATAAAGTTTATTATTATTATTATTATGACTGTTGGCACCCACCTTTTAACTTAAAGTGGCCATGCCCTTAATTAGGCACAACTTTAAGTCTTAATACAATTCAAATGAGTGAGTTATATAAAAATTCTCCCCTTGCGCAGTCGTCCTAAACAGGAAAATTAGCAATAGAAACTAAAACCATTTTTTTGTGGCTGGTTGTAAACATGTTAATTTCTGTTGTAAAGCTAGACATTTTAACATGTGGGTATATGTGGACTGATTCACTTTTGGAGCAAGCCTCAAGTGGTCCTTCAAGGAACTGCAGTTTGGGCAATGTAACTTTGGCTTCATTTTTCAGCCACAGAGGTTTCTACAAGGAAAAAGTCTAATTGGCAGTACAGCTTTTAGTGTATTTTACGAGTTTTTCTTCTCCTTCTTTGCAGGAGTGAGTGTCCACTGGCTGGGGGATTTTGTGTTTGTGGAGAGCGGCCTGGGGGTAAGAGTGAAGTTTGATCTGGGTAACACAGTGTACTTGACAGTAACCGCCGAGCACCTGGCAGCCACTAGAGGGCTCTGTGGAGTCTACAACAATAACGCTGATGGTGAGGGACACACCCACACAGGACACACTCAGAATCTTGATGTCGTCGTGTACCCTTTAATTTACTGTCTCCAATCTTCACAGTCTCTTGATACACTTCCCTGACCCTAACTCTTTAAAGTTTTAGAAGTTTCCCATGTTTGCATTGGTAACCTCTTTGTGTCTGGCTGCCAGATGATTTCACCACAATGAGTGGAACTGTGTCCCAGTATGCTGCCAGCTTTGGCAACTCGTGGAAAGTACCGGACCAGCACAGCGAAGTATTGCACTGCATGATTTTCACTTTTTGCAACACAGCTTATTGTTACCACTGGTATTGTTCTTAATGAGATGCTTCAAATTTGTGCTCTATCAATTCACATTGAAAGCAGTCAAATGACTGTGATGCTTTTCAACATAATCCAAACATTCAGCTGCCAACAATAAAAACTAAAGCAAAAATACATCTGAGTGTAAAGATGAATGGTTTCAGTATTTGTTTCTATGACTATAGAGTTGTGTAAACCCTCCTGCTGTATTCAAAATAAATGATAAGGTGTGTTTATAAAATGCAGCCTTGGTAACTGAGCCTGTCTGTGTTCTTTGCTTCCCTCAGGGCTGCAGTGATGCTGCAGAGCTCGGTCACAGCTGTGATGTCTCAGGAGACCCTGCTCTTCGCAGACAGGCAGAATCAGTGTGTCATCGACTTCTGGAAAACCCCTTCACACACTGCCACCTCCGGGTCAGAAACTCCTGATACTTATCACAGTGGCTTATCACTGTCCTTGTTGCTCACTGGACGGCTGTCCTTTGGGACATTTGGACACAAAGAAATGTTTTAGTATAATTTCGTTGGAAGTCAAGCCTGCAATGAGCTTCTCTTAGTAAAACATTTAGTAGCCTTACCTACTGCGAGAGTTACAAAAAAAGGGCGACACTGATGTGAGTCTTAAAGACTAACGACTTAACATGGCTTCCTGGAAGACACTGAATAGCAGATGAACATCAGTGTCACACAGAGAGTTAAATATTTGTATCAGTTGAGCAGGTATAACATTAGCGAGAAATACATTTGAACTCATTTTTAACATAATGTTACACTTACAACCCCAAATAAGCAACACTGTGAAGTACTGATGATTAAAGTCACTACTGCCGCTAGTATCCTATACAATATGTATGGTGGCATACGGGGGTAAAAGCTGGTACAAGACAGACAATCATTTTTGTGTAAATGACACAAGTTTACTCTTAAATAACTTTAATAATTGCTTGTGTTTCCCAGCTGGACCCAGCAGCCTACATAGACACCTGTCTGTACCTGTACTGTAGCCTGCCACACAAAGAGAGGAAGGGTGCAGTGTGCGACACCTTGGCCAGCTACGCCCGAGAGTGCGCCCAGCAACACATCATCATAATGTGGAGGACAGCCACCTTATGCGGTAAAGAAATGCAGTTTGGCATCTCACTTGCACATGACATTTTTACAAACTGTTCTCTTATTTTGGGTTTAAATGAGGCCTCTGTGGCAACCAAATCACAAATCTGGGGTAAATGCTTGAATATAGCGTCACGGCAGCACAAATAAAAAACTGTCATGCTGTATCGTAAAGTCATTTACACGTCTATTTAAAACTTGTTAACATCGGCGAATACACACCACCATAAGCTAACGGTTAGACTAGAATGGGCAGTTAACAGATGCATTATGTGTGTTCCACTATTTCCTGTAGATTTTTATATGCATTTTCATTGTTTGGTAAAATATTTGAGAGCAGTGACGGCTTGGACAACTCCTTTTGGATAAATTCGTGTCTCACTTTCAGTATACTAGATCTGAGGTCACAGTTTCACCACGCAGCACTTCTTCCACAGTTCTAAAGCAGTCTGCAAACAGAAACAAAAGCAAATCTGTCAGTGCAATGTGCTGACTCCCATAACCTAATGATATGAACTATAAGCAACATAATCTCCTTTAAGAGAAAATAATTACTAAACATGTGCTAAAGTCCTCAAAACTACCAGTAATGACCTTTACCTCTGTATCCTTCCAGGTCGTGTCTGTCCTAGAGGTCAGGTGTTCTCAGATTGCGTGTCCTCTTGTCCGCCCAGCTGTACTTCTCCACAGCCCCCCGGGCCTGCTGCAGCCATGGGCCAGTGCAGGGAGGAGTGCGTGGGGGGCTGTGAGTGTCCTCCAGATCTCTACCTTCACCAGGGACTCTGTCTGAAAAGAGACGACTGTCCGTGTTTCCATCGCAGACGCACCTACCAGCCAGAGGAAAGGATACAGCAGAGATGCAACACTTGGTAAGTAGGAAATGTATGTGTTCCCTGTGTCTCTCCTTCATCTAAGTCCCCTTTTACTCATTTGTCTTCTTTATTTTTTCCCTCTTCACCCTTCCAGTGTGTGCAGAGCAGGTCAGTGGCAGTGCACTGGGGAGAAATGTGCAGCCCAGTGCACCCTGATGGGGGCTCTGCAGGTGACCACATTTGACAAAAAGAGATACTCACTTCAGGGAGGAGACTGTCCCTTCATTGCCGTGGAGGTGAGACAAAAATTCAACCGCAGTTCGATGTACTATGAGGTGTCTTTGTGTGTGTGTGGCAGCAGCTTTGTCCTTACGCTCTGTGTGTGTTCAGGACTTTGTTGACAGGAAGCTGGTGGTGAGTGTACGCTGTGGAGAGTGTACAGCAGGAGCAGGAGGAGGAGGGCTGGGCTGTGTGAGGGAGATGTCAGTCACAGCACTCCACACCACAGTCACCATCACAGACACTGGTGAGTTAGATAGTTTAAAAGTTCCACAGTTTCGTTGACTTACCTACAGAAGACCACCCTAGTCTGTTGTTCCCCCCAGATAGTTGGAGCTTTTAAGTATCTTTTGCCTCATCATTTTAATTGTAGGTCCTCCAGCCTTGCTGTTTTCTATTGAAGCATATTGCAGCCACACACAGAAAAAAGAAAAACAGATCAGTATCACACTATAACGTGAAGGATGCCTTTCGTGTTATAACAAGATATTTTCATGTTCTTACGACATACAAACTTATCACACTATAACAGTAAACGTTTTCTGATACAACTGATCATTTATATACATAACAGTCGACCCTCACCACATCTCAAGGTGAGCAAAGAAAAAATTAAAGTAGAATTTAACCAAATTCTGTCAATAACAAATTATCTTAAATGTATCCATTCTCAGATGTGTTATTGAATTTTAACAATAAGAGTTCATTGTTATTCCATGATAGGTTTTTTGGTCTCCAGTAACATGAAATATATTGTTATAGCATGAAAAAATGTGTTTTTCATATTATAGTGTGAAACTGATTTGTTTTTCTTTTTTTGCACTTCTGTAGTTTAGTTGATTGTTTTTTTGTTTTTTTAATGTTAGTGTAACTAGACAACTCTTTGGTGACCAACAACTTCAAAAGCTGATATTATGAGGATGATATGTTTTCAGTTTCTTGCACTGTCCTCAAACGGTGGAGAAAATAAGTAAACAATGAATGCTGCTTTAGACTTAATCGGGGGGTAAATGTATAGCATAAAAAAAAGGATCTTGCTGTTTTTGTGATGTCACCAATTGGTTTGTAGACTACTGTTCTGAAGCCTTGTGTTTGGAATCTGGCCGTTGCCATCTTGCTTTTTTTTAAACCAAATGTAAGGAGCGAGGGGTGGTGTGGACTGAGAATTCAAGCCTGCTGATACAGTAGTGACCTTTCAATTCTGAAGCTCCACCTTAAAACACTTTCCTCGAAATGGAACCGTAACTTACAAAATGAACATCATGCTGTGTTGAAGGAGATGTGAAGACCATAAACTTATTAGGAAAAGGTTCTATGAACTAACAAACCAAGGGAGAAGTAAGGTCATTTTGCCATCGACTTCTATACAATTGGAAACCAGAGGAGTCGCCCCCTACAAGCCCTTAGAATGAAATGCAGGTTTAAATCCATGGTGGCTTCCTTTTCAGGAAACCTCATCCAAAATTCTTCATTTTGAATGAGGTGACTGCACTCTGATTGGCCACATTGGGTATTGTTACCTCCAGGTACAGTGACGTTGAATGGCCAGAGGGAGGCGCTGCCTGTGGTGTCAGGGGACCTGGTTGTGCGGAGAGCCTCCTCCTTATTTCTCCTCATCCAGACTTTTGGAGCCCAACTACTCTGGTACCTAGATGGACCCTTGGCCTTCATCACCCTGCAGCCTGGCTTTGCAAAGAAGGTGACCTTAACATCTGCTTCTGTCATTTCACCTCGAAGTGTAACAATCGGTTTTCAATTTTTGTTCCCAAAGTGATTGCAGTATAAGATACACCGTCTTAGATTCTAAAATAACAATCATTATGCAAACCCAAAGCATAACATTGTGTGCGGTGCATTCAAGGTGCGCGGCCTGTGTGGGACACTGACATGGAACCAGCACGACGACTTTACCACTCCAGAGGGAGACGTGGAGAACAGTGTGTCATCCTTTGCAGGGAAATTCACAACAGAGCGCTGCACTCTGCCTGGAGGAGCTCCACCAGACCCCTGCTCCACGTACACCCAGAGGAGACACTACGCAGAGACGGTGTGCGCCATCATACACGGCCCAGTCTTTCAGGTCAGTGTATGGAACATCACATAATGTCTCAGGAGTGAGTTCATGTTTGTGCCTCTCTTTTATTCACACCTGCACGTCCCTCTCTGATCCTATAGGCGTGCCATGACATGGTGGAGAGGGAGCCCTATTTCCGTCTCTGTCTGTCAGAGATTTGTGGCTGTGTTCCACAGAGGACCTGCCACTGCACCGTCCTCACTGCTTACGCCCGACACTGTGCTCAGGAGGGTGTTAAGGTCCACTGGCGCAACCACACCTTCTGCCGTGAGTGGGAACGCCATTGGTTCAGTGGCATTTAAAGGCATCTATGAACAGTACTTGTCTTTTTCAATGGATTCAAGGTTATAGACTCCAAGATAGTCTCTGTCTCATGAATTTGATAATTTATTTTGGTGGGTTGTCATTAGATAAAGTCAGATAAAAAAAATTAATAAAAAAAAAACAGACCCAACTGTGATGTCTGACAAGACTTGGATTAGACCAAAGGAACATTCAAGTCTTCTCGACGAAATCCTAAAAAGAGCAACAGTTTAACATTGACCCTGACTGCTTATTATTATTATTATTATATATTTATTCCTTATCATATATATATATATTATATGTACCCCCATTCAGAAGCCCATTCTCATATCCCGTATGCACTGTTCTCCTTTTATGTGTACTTTTATACTTGTTGCACTATTTCTTATACTTATATTTATATGTACATTTTTTCTGTCGAGTATGTGTGTATCTTTATGTGTAAAGCTGCTGACAACAATGTGAATATCTCCACTGTGAGATAAATAAAGGCATGTCTTATCTTATCTTATCTTATCTTATCTTAACACCAATAATTTGTTGCTGCATTTGGATTTGATGCTCATGCTTAAAGGCACATGTTCTTATTCCTTAGCTTTCAAGCTACAAAGGTGTTTGTACTAACCTGGTCCTCTTTGAAAGCCCAAACTGAAACCTCTTCCTTCCTTTCTCCTCAGCGGTCCAGTGTTCGGGGGGTCAGGTGTACCATGAGTGTGGTCGGCCCTGCGGTGGCTCCTGCTCAGACCTGCGACAGGGCTGGAGCTGTGACGACAGTGGCGGTGGAATAGGCCACAGAATGTGTGTTCCAGGGTGCCAGTGCCCACCAGGACTTGTACAGGACCACCAGGGCCAGTGTGTGCCCATCACTTTGTGCCCCTGTGTGCAAGGAGATAAGATGTATTCAGCCGGGGCTGTAGTTCAAAATGGCTGCAACACCTGGTATGTAGTAGAAAAGACTTTCAGAAACTATGAGCAGAACTTTGTATTTTTGTTTTTTGGTACTCCCTGGCTAAAATATTCGCCTTTCTGCAGCTACAGTTTCACGACACACTTTAACTATTTGATTTTTACCTTGTTAGCATGTCTGTGTAATGTTTTTATATTCTGGAAACGAGTGGGGAGTTCTGGTTTGGGAGTTTTTAAGAGATAAATCTGCAATATGAGATATTTTTTGGATCACAGCTTGATGGAAATTTGTTTTTGAAAGAGCCGTCTCAGGATGTTTCCTCTTAAAAAGTCAATACTTTCACTGACCCTTGGTAGCAGCATTTTACTCCTGTGAAATATTAACATCACTGTAAAGACGTATTTACCTTGACATACTAAACTTGTCAGAAGGGAGACAAAGTGACAGAGGTTATTTCAGTACAGTCTCTTTGTGACCCAGTTGTGCAGATGTTTTAACAGCACATCATAAAAACAGCCCTTTCTCTTTTACGGCTCGCTGTGTGCAACTTTTATCATGTTGTAGTTAAGATAAAGAATCAGATGAAGTAAGCAGATTTTCTTCATTGTCACTATGAATGCAGCTTTCATTCAGCTGCAATACAGCGTTGGCAAAGTTTACTGTGTGTTGAATGAGCTTTGATCCTATAGGATGACTACAAGTACTGTTTAAAGTCTGAAATCTGTAGAATATACTGTTTTATTAAAGCAGTATAGCATGCAAAGCACAAACTGATCTGCTACTGTTTGTCTTGAACTACAGTACAGAGGGTCAGAGGTCACCTTGACAGAGTTCGTACTTCTTTGTTGTTGATTTTGGGATTTTTTTTTCTTTGCATGACTTTGTTAACATGGGGAGGTTGGTGATGTTGAGTAACTGTGTGTAGAATCTGGACATGTCAGACTTTGTGTTTACATGAGGGTAAGCTGTACATGCATAACTATTCTACTCTACACAAAGCAGCACCAAAGTCAAAGCTGAACCCCAGCTTGTAAAATGTGTGTTTGAATGACTAAATGTGCAAACTACACATGTATATAAGAGTATGTGATCCCAAGTGAGTCCCTGGTGGTGCAAGAGCTCTGATGAAATCACTCTATGTTCCTGCTTCGTAACACAGGATAGGTTGATTTCATTGCATTTCTTCACTACATAATCGTCACTCGATGGGTTAAAGTATTGACCGAGGCATAGCAGTGATAGTACGACTAAAAAAGTTATTGGTTAATTGTTTCTCTCTGTTTTTATTGTATGTGTACATGTTTGTGCACTGTCCCTTTAGTATGTGACTCACTTTGTTTGTGCTGCTGATATCTACCTGCTTATTGACCTAATTACTTGCTATGAGGAAGCAGGACATTTTGCTAATTATTAAACATATTACAACCACTGTTTAGAATTTAGTTATAATAAAGGGAACATTTATTGATGCATAATAAAATAGAGATTTAATGTTTGATTAATGTGTGCTAAAGGGCACATTTGCACACTAAACTAGATTTCTATAACTTCTGGGACAACTTACACTTGGCAGATTTTATTATCTGTCCCCCAGGAAGGTGATGTTTGCACACATGTTTTGCCGAATCTCATTTAATGCAAGCTTTAAATAACTTTTAACAGCCTTTTTCTACTCGCAACGATACATTTAAAATGATTGTCTTTCAGTAGAGGTGAGCACTGAATAACTCCCTCTTCTCTTCCCTTCAGTGTGTGCGAGCAGGGGCTCTTTAACTGCACTCAGGAGCGCTGTGAAGAGGTGAACCAGTGCCCTGGGTCTCTGGTCTACTCTCCACGCTCCTGCCTCCTTACCTGCTCCAGCCTGGACCCTCCCGGCCAACAGCAGGGGACCAGTGTCACACAACGGAGCTGCAGGGAGCCGCTGTCTGGCTGCGTCTGTCCTCAGGGAACGGTCTTACTAGTAGGTGAACACTCAAATCCTGTTTTCTGAATGGATACCTGAGAGGTTTTGAGAATACAGGCCTTTGTCACAGCACAAAAAACACACAAGAATGTAAGCAATACCAGTACCTGCCCATCCATCCATCCATCCATCCATTATCTATACACCACTTTATCCTCACTAGGGTCGCGGGGGGCCTGGAGCCTATGCCCATTGTAAAGCTAAATACACTGCAGCCATTATTAACAAAATAGTGACACAAGAGGTGTCACATGTCTAAATACACACACACACACACACACACGGCTTTGCAATTTTAATAGATCACCTATTTAATTTGTTAAGCACTATATATATATATATATATATATATATATATATATATATATATATAGTTGTCCTCAAATGTATTCATACCCTTCCACTAAAGAAAAGGCAAAATTCACAATAGTCACTCAAATTACTAGAACTGAAAAAAGTGATAACAAACAAAAAATTTGCTTAATTATAATTAAGTGAGATAAGACATTGCTTTTGAATTATGGTTGAAAAGAATAATTGCAGTGATTGCCGCAAAGCGTTGCTCAACAAAATATTAGCTTACTTGCATGTTTACTTGCATGTTTACTTGTTTTATTTTTGTTTGTTTGTTTCTGTTGAACCACAATTCAAAAGAAATGTCATGATTTTCAATATATTTTTATTTACTATTACCGTTGTCAATTTCAACTTATTTTAGTGAGAGCTGTTTTTTCCTTCTTTAATCGGAAGAGAAGTTGTAAAACAAATTTCATAAATTTTCGGGAAATGTTGATAATGGCACAATGAACAGATGGATACATTCTGGTGATGTTCTGGCTTACCGTCTGTTTATTATTTTCTCATAAAACAGTAAAATTATTATTATTATTATAATATATTATTGCATTTCCCTTCTGGGATGAATAAAGTATTTTTCATTTTCAGTCATTCATTCATTAAAAGCTGTTAAGCGACACAGTCACACAGAATGCTGTCGTTGCGCCGTTTGTCCACTAGATGGAGCTCTGACTCCATTCAGTCCTCACCGCTGTCTTCTCAGTAGTACAGCAGTGAGCTACAGCCAGGCTACATGACAGCAGTGGGCTGAGCGGAGCTACTGACAGATAAATTCAGAACCACGTTGTGACATAAACAAAGACTCAACATGTCTCCTGTTTCACTTTAACTCTCTTTGCCATGTGTCATGACAAGTGAGGCGTGCTTCATGCTTTTCATTTACGTTGCTAAAGTAGTGCTAACCTAGCTTAAGTTACTTCCTGTGTGTTTATGTTAGCAATAACATCGCTGTAGTTAAGCCAATCTAGCATAGTTAGGTAACAGCTTAAAAGCCAGTAAGTAACTACAGAAATAACATAAGTATATAAAATATTAAGAGCGTACAGAACGGCTGTTCATCACTCGGTCAGCTTGTTATTAATGATATCAATGCTAATTCAAATGCTAAAGATGTGTTTTGATTATCCATGAATCAAATAGTGTGGATAAAATGAATGCAGGACTTTAACATTGAGTGGAAATCACAACATGGTGGAAATGAGCTGCTTGGTGGAGCTCTGCGCTCTCTGAGGGCTTTTCTGGTTTATTATTTGTTATGCTGTTAAAACCTATAAGGCACACTTCCGGCTACCTCGGCAGCAGACGCATGCGCAACTCTCTCACTCTCGCTCGACCACTCACGGTCCTGGTTCAAGTTACTAACTGATGTCCGAAGCCAAAGGGACAGTTAATGAACGGACTTTCTGAAGATTTTTAAGGATTCAAGAACCTCTTTTCGTGACACGTCTGCACTCACCTCCCATCCAGTGTCAAAATTGGGGACATTTTCGGGGACAGTCATTCAAATCGCGGACTGTCCCCGGAAATCGGTACGTCTGGTCACAATATAAAACTGAATGTCAGTTGTAGTCTCCACTCTGCTCCGGAGGTAAGCGCATCAAGCTCCATAGCGGCTAACTGCGCCACTATTCTCACTAGATAGCATTAGCTGCTCACCTTGTCTGTCTGACATTTGGACACTACAGGTACGTTTGCTTACAAGCACAGGAAAACTTCCACCACCATCACCACATAGCCACAACATTAAAACCACTGACAGGGGAAGTGAGCAGCATTGATTGTATTGTTTCCTTGCAGTGTTGTTCTGGGAAACCTTGGGTCCTGACATGTTTAAAGGTTACCTGAAAATTGTTTGTAACCAAGCACAGCCACCCGATGGCAATGGCACACACGTATTTGATTAGTGGTTTTAATGTTATGGTTGATTGTTGTATGCCTGATAATCATCTAATTTATCTCATCTTTCTGTGTGGAAACAACAGATAAGACATTGCAGAAGCTTACATTTTTCAGATTAAGTGAACAAAAACACATTACTATTCTTAGTGTTATGACCAGGGCTTAAACTGAGATTTGTGAGGAGGGAGTGCCCTGTGCAGTGAAGTTGAGGCGTTGGGTGTGGTGGTTGGTGCCTACCCACGCAGGTGATAGTTTTGATGCAGTATGGGCTGTTTCTTTTGTAGAGAGTAGTGAAACTAGTTATAGTAATTTTATTCTCTGGGTGTGGATTGTCCACAGTAATAATTGTACTTCTGTTGAAAGACAGGTTGCTGTTCAGTTTTCTTCAAGTCAAATTTTAATCCATCCATCCATTATCTATACACCGCTTAATCCTCACTAGGGTCGCGGGAGGTCTGGAGCCTATCCCAGCTGACTTAGGGCGAAGGCAGGGGACACCCTGGACAGGTCGCCAGTCTATCACAGGGCTACACTGAGAGATAGACAACCATGCATCATTCATGCCTACGGGCAATTTAGAATCACCAATCAATCTCAAAATGTTTTTGGGCTGTGTGGGAGGAAGCCGGAGAACCCACGCGGCACGTGGAGAACATGCAAACTCCACGCAGGAAGATCCCAGGTGTCCTCACCAGGACGTGAACTGGCGACCTTCTTTCTGCGAGGCAACAGTGCTAACCACCTTGCAGCCATCAATTTTTAATGCTTGACCCATAAATTGTGCTGTTGCAGTGTCAGGCACAGATATCATTTACAGAATCTAATTATTTGAATAGCTTTGGTTGGCTCTAGTTTGTGGTCATGAACCCATACAGCCTAATTTTGACTTATTATGTCTTCTCTGTTTTACTTCAGGGTGATCGCTGTGTTCTGCCAGACGAGTGCCCCTGTCATCATAATGGTCGACTTTATTACAGCAATGACACCATCACTAAAGACTGTAACACATGGTAATGTATGCAGTTGTGTGATTGCATTAATATTCTGTAACTTTAACATTTTATCTCAACTCTAAATTATTCTTTCCTGCAGTGTATGCAAACAGCGCCGCTGGCACTGCAGCCAGTCCGTCTGTGTCGGCGTATGTGTGGCAACTGGTGACCCGCACTATGTGACGTTTGATGGCCGCTGCTACTCCTTCCTGGGTGATTGCCAGTATGTGCTGGCAAGGGAGACCAGTGGTTTATTCAGCGTCACAGCAGAAAATGTGCCATGCGGAAGCACTGGGGTCACCTGCACGAAGTCCGTCACTCTCAGCCTGGGAAACACCGTCATACACCTGCTGAGAGGTAGGAGAGATGGTTGGTGTAATGAGGGAAGCTGAGCCTGAATGATCTCAAGTTAGGATTCATAGGCACCTCAGACGTGTTAACAAATGGTGAAACGCCAGATCAGAGAGGTTATGTTTGTGACATTTTAACCTGATAGTCTTGGATATTTTAAACACCTGTGTGCTCTTGAGGAATGAATTGTGTTTATCAGACCCGGCTCAACCAAAATTCATATTTAGTATGACTGTTAACTACCAGAGTTTGGGGTTCTGCTCCTACTTTGGCAAAATGGTGAAAATATATACATTATGTGGGATGCTTGAGGCAAACTGTCTTATCTCTGACATTTAGGTAAAGCTGTGACAGTGAATGGAATGCCAGTTACATTACCAAAGTCCTACAGTGGCAGTGGTCTGACCCTGGAAAGAGTCGGTCTGTTTGTCTCCCTGTCCTCCCGACTCGGAGTCACTTTGCTGTGGGATGGAGGTAGGATACATGCATCACATTCTGCAACTTTTAAGCAACCTCTTATTCTGTAATGCTCAGGGTAAATGTATTTGTACACTGTTATTTCTTGTTGATGTAAATTAGGACAAAATCAGGAAAAAAAGCAAACTGTTGCCAAAAATGTATCGTCGTTTTAGTTTTGTCATTTCTACACTTACCTTTACCTGTTCTGATTGTGTAATATACAAATATTTCATGATATATTGCTGTAGATAGAGATTAATTAACAAACTACTAATAACGTTGTTAATCCACATGTTCTCTCCAGGTATGCGGGTATATGTGCGTATGGCAGCCCACCTGCGGGGTCGGGTTGGGGGCTTGTGCGGTAACTTTGATGGGGACACAGAGAATGACTTCACAACACGGCAGGGAATCGTAGAGTCTACAGCTGAGCTGTTTGGAAACTCCTGGAAGGTCAGCCCCTCCTGCCCTGATGTGGCAAACCAGGACCTCCGAGACCCCTGTGCTGTGAGTTCACTGACATGCACACATTCACACACGGGCAGAAGAACTGTTTAGTCTTGTAAGCACATGAACTCTCAAAGTCCCATAATGTTCTCACACTTTTCAGCTGAACCCCCACAGAGTGACATGGGCTAGGAAAAGATGTACTGTGCTGACCCAAGAAGTTTTCTCGCTGTGCCACCCTGAGGTGCCCTTCCAGCAGTATTATGACTGGTGTGTCTTTGATGCTTGTGGGTGAGTGACTGCATTAATCTACACAAGGTGTCCCAACAGTATTTTCTAGTTATATGTTAGTATTTTTCGCAAAATATATTTTAAATGTTAAATTGTGTTATGTTGAAAGATTGCTCGTTAATATAAAATGTGTGTCGTTTTGAGACATTTACTGTGGACAGCCCGTCATCTCAAATTAGGGTTTGGTGGGATAAAAATGCTCCACAATAATTTTCAGGTCATTGTAAATTGTTAACATAGATGGGAAAAAAAAACTTGCATGAGAAGTAAAACTGACTGCTGATAGACATCGTTTGTGTACATTCACCAGAGCGCTAATGTCATTGAAGACTATTTTGAGTGCAGGGGTTGACTGATATGGTCTCTTAAAGGACCAATACCGATACAGATTACTATTGATCAAGGAGACTGATACCAATGTTTTGGGAAATTGTACACATTTACTGTAAAAATGAAAATTGTGGTCTCAAAATTCAGAATAACACAAACTCCAACACAATTTTTTTTTTCTTTTATTTATGTTTTAGAGTTGTTAATTTACTACTTGTGATATATCAACCAATCAGATAGTGTTGTGGGCATTGCATTGCTCAACACCTCAAAGTGGCGACCACAGATTGAGAGAGGCTGCTGCAATTTTGGTACTCTGCACATTTTAAAATAAATATATTTTATTGGGAACCTTTAAAAAAATAGCAACGCTGATAAATGGAGAAATACTGAATAATTGATGCAATAATAAGCCGGGCTGATAAACAGTTTACTTGTAATTGGTGCTAATATTGGTCTGTTATTGCCACCAGCAACGGCCGTGCAACACTGCTCATCAGCCGACAGAATTATGTATTTCCCCATCCTTATGGTGTAAAACATCTATCTGCATCTTTTCACACTTGCTGGTAAACAAGCAGTAACAGAACTGTCAACAGCAAAGCATTAAACATTCCTACTAAAGGTAAACATACAACTACAGGTTCATCTTCAGTAGAAAAAGATGTGAGGATAGTTTCCCTGACTACAGTATCTTAATTATCTTTTCATATTCATAATAAACTATAACCATCATTCATCTTGAAATTGTGTACTTCGAGTAATATGTTATTGTGTTTTAGTTGTGACTCAGGTGGGGACTGTGAGTGTGTCTGTACAGCCATTGCTACCTATGCTGAGGAGTGCAACCGACGAGGGGTCTACATCCGCTGGAGGTCCCAGGAGCTCTGCCGTATGTCAAAGACTGATATGGCACATACAGTCCTCCAATTTATTCATACCCTCCAATTAAAGAAGGAAAAAAACATAAGCTGAAATAAGCTGAAATTGACAAAGGTAATCAGAAATAAAAATGTACTGAAAATCATGACATTGCTTTTAAATTGTGGTTCAACAGTAATATATTAAAACACACACACACACACACACACACACACAAGCAACCAAGCATGATGGGACCCGTGAACTAATATTTTGTTGAACAACCCTTTCAGAATCAGAATCAGAATCAGAATCAATCACTGCAATCAAGTGTTTTCTGTAACTTCAATCAGACTTCTGCACCTGTTGACAGGTATCGTGCTCTAATTTGTTCAGGACAGTTTTGTTTTATAAATAATTATTTTCAACCACAATTCAAAAGGAATGTCATATTTCACTAAATTAGAATTTAACAATTTTTTAAAAATGTATTATTACTTTTTTCAGTTTCTAGTTATTTGAGTGACTTGTGAATTTTGCGTTTTCTCTAATGGAAGGGTATGAATACATTTGAGGACAACTGTACACACACCATTGACTCACAGAGTCAGTGTTAAGTATGTGTGTCTTCATTCTGTCTTTGTCTAAAGTGAGTTGTCTCTTCCTGCAGCTCTGCAGTGTGAGAATGGGCTGGTCTATGACCCCTGTGGTGCAGCTTGCTCTCTCTCTTGTCCCAGTGTTCAGCAGAGCCCACATTCCCAGTGTGGGGCTCTCTCCTGTGTGGAGGGCTGCTTCTGCCCTGCTGGCACTGTCCAACATGGTAAGACACACCCTACCCGATGGAAAGTGACTGTGTCTTTAACTATAGACCACATTTCTGACAGTTATTGATAATTTCCCTAAACAAACTTAAGAATTCAACAATTTTGTTTAAACAAAAGATAACTTGAAAGCTACAAATGAAATGGAATAAAATGTGGTCCAGACAGAGTTAAACTCGCTGCTTTTGGGTTTTTGGAGGCTGAACACATCTGGACTTAGTAGTATACAAGTCCTTTCTGTTTTGGAAACTGCATCAGCTTTCAAGAGAAAGCCTTTTGATTTTGTTTACACCACGTTCCCCCTGTAATGCTGCCCTAAGCGAGATCTTTACTTTGTTTTGCCTTGCAAATCTTTAATAATAGAAGAATTATCAGTATGCCTTCTATTCAACAGGTGACAGCTGTGTAGTGCCCACTGAGTGTCCATGTGAGTGGGAGGGCTCCATGTTTCCACCTGGAACTACCATCGCTCAGCACTGCCAGAACTGGTCAGTCAAGCTGAATGCTTATAAACTATATACCAATTTATGCTTGAAATTAATCAAGGTAGAGTCACCATTAAAACTGTGTTCTGTGCATGTGTTTGCCTTGATGTGTTCAGCACCTGTAAGGAGGGCATGTGGCAGTGTGAAGGTGTGGCTTGTCCTCCTCCCTCCCTCACCTGTCTGGAATCAGAGTTTGCCTGTGCAGGGGGACGCTGCATCCCCTCTCAGTGGGTGTGTGACAACGAGGATGACTGTGGTGATGGTTCAGATGAGATCTGCCCATTCACCTGCTCTCCAGAACAGTTCCGCTGTACCACCACACCCAGGTGAATCCCAATTACCTTCAGTTTTTTCTGCCCAATTTTTTTTTTGTGTTCGAAGATTATGAAGGCACAAAACTTTTGTTTGTGATCAGAAGTTTTCCTGATTTAGCGTTTTTAACTACACTAACCAAGGTTGTGTGTGAACACTTCAGTTAATATGTGAATGAAGTTCAAAGTTGTTCCGTTAGGCACTGAGCACATATGTTTTTTTCCTATTTTTAAGTTGTACAGTGTCCCGTCGTCATGGTTCTGATATTGCCTAATTCCAGATAATCTCCCCTGCATGGTTTCAACAATACTTATTGTCCATTTTCAGTGCAGGATATGTTTAACTGAGTGCACAGTTAGCTGTTTTACCAGATATATAAGTAGTTCCAAAAAATAAATTAAAAAAATGAGGTCTTTATTTCAGATTAGAGAACACAAAAACCTCAAAATAAAAAACATTCTTAAAAAGAGCAAGCACAGCCGAATAACCCTTTTATGTCTTAAATGAAAGACATCCCAGCCTGAAGAACTGAAGCCCTCCACTTCAAGTAAAAAAGTCAACATCCTCAGAGAACAATCAATAAAAGGTTTCGTTTGCACGTTGCTGGGCTGTAAATGTGCGTGATGAGTCGGATAGATCTGTCATACAGGGCTTGCAGCGCGGTTATTTTGTGTGCCCTCAGCTTGGACTTCAGGGGATAACTTTGCTCTAAAGAGCTGTGCTTTGTCTCGTAGTGGCGCTCCACGTTGCTACTTTTAATTAATGCCTCGTTTTCAGAGCATATGAGGCCACTGGTTATGAACTGTCTGGCAGAAGGATGAACATGCACTTCTCCGTGCACTCATCTTCAAAGCAGCGGTTTTCCTCATCAACCTTCCTTCTTTTGGAGCAAGCCATGCTGTCATCACTGTCTCTTCCTCTCTGCTCGGCTGTATAGGCAGCGCAGAGTGGCAGCAGCAGTGAGCTGTGGTGGTGCGCTGGCCATGCAGGCTAACCAAACGATTTGATTGGCTCGACTGAGTGGAGCTATTGGCGTATTAACTGGAGTAGCACCACCCGCTGTCTATAGCCGCGACCGTCGGAAAAAACGCTCCATGAAAATCTCGTGAATTCATCAGAGATTGGTCACGGTCCTGGCAGAACCATCACTCGGTCCGTATCCGGACCGAGGTCCGCCATTTGGTGATACCTGGACTAGAGTTTTCTGAAAAAACAACAAAAAACAAGACACAGCATGTACAGCTAGCCTGTTTAATGACCAAGATAAGGACTTTAACGTAGCAGGTAGTGATAGGTAGGTAATATTCTGAAAATGTTGTTTATCCGTCCAACAGTTTCTGACGGGCATTGAGCATTGCAGTCAAGATTTTTAAATGTATTTTTAAAAATTATTTTAGAGCAAGTCTTTCTGTTAGATTCAAATTACGAAGTGAATTAAGGAGTTGACCCTAACCCTGCAGTGGACCATGTTTGAACCTGGCTCTGCGTTGTGATGGCCACCCAGACTGTGCTGACCAATCAGATGAGGAGTTCTGTGGACCTGCCACCCCTCTGCCCCTGTGCCCTCCGGGGGAGTTTCAGTGTGCAAATGGAAAGTGTCTCCCAACCAGCCGTGTGTGTGATGGACGGCTGGACTGTGGTTTTGCTGATGCGTCTGATGAGCAAGGTAAACTATCAAAAAGGATTCTGTATCAACAATACTTATTTGTCAGTTTAAAAAAGTTATAACTCAATTCTATCATATCAGATACTCTGTCAACAAGTTTGGGGAAACATGGTGTCATATCAGTGGTTTCTATTATTGTCAAGGGTTGTTTTCTGTGCTTTTATGCTTTTTATGATTCCTCTTACTTTTATTTCCTGCTTTTGTGCTATTTTTGTTTGCTCAGACTGTGGTGTAGTGTGTGATGAAGGGGAGTTCCAGTGTGCCGGAGGACGCTGCATTCTCTACCTCCACCGTTGTGACGGCCATGATGACTGTGGGGACTTCAGCGATGAGAGAGGGTGTGTGTGTTTTCAGTTTTACTAAAGTTTTGGTACTGGGATTTACAGTAGTTAAACTGACTGATCTGATCTTTGAACTTGTCCAGACTAGGACATTTGGAGGTCTGTGCTGTGTGAAGGGAAACAAAAGTTACGTCAAATATTGAAAAGTATTTGAAGATAAGCTCTCAGTTTGTGGGATAGGATTGTATTTACTTTCTGCCTCTTTTCTCAGAGGCACTCATTTACACGCAGCAGATTACACTTTATGATGTCATCCCTGTTTAATCTTTTGGCTGATTTGTAGGTGTGTCTGTACACCAGGAGAGTTTCAGTGCCCAGGGGATCAGTGTGTCCCTGCAGATAGAGTGTGTGATGGACACAGAGACTGCCCCTCTGGAATAGATGAGGCTGTTTGTCCAGGTAAACGTACAAATAATAATACAGCATAAATACATTTTCCAAAGACACTCTAACCTGCTTGGTTTTGTTAATGAGGCTTTGAATTTTGGCTACAAATGTAACATGTTATTCTGTTTGATGTGGCAGTGACCTGTGCTCCCGACCAGTTTGCCTGCAGGGATGGTACATGTGTTCCCACAACTAAGCTGTGTGATGGAACACCAGACTGTCCAGGCAGAGAGGATGAGAACAAGACCAATTGCGACACCAGCATCATAATACCATCACCCCCACCTGTCACCCCAACTTCAGGTAATGATAGACAATAATTTCATGATTTAACTATGTATAGAGGTTACATTTCCATCATTGGTCCTCGTCCTTATGCCTTTTCTTCTCTTGTCTCTTCCTTCTGTTCTCTATCTGAAAAGATAAAATGTTCCCAGACTTGCCTTCTTAATTGTCTTAAACAAGAATGTTTCTTCAGCCTGTAGGTCCTATGAGTTCAGCTGTGCCACAGGAGGGCAGTGTGTACCTCAAGCCTGGCGTTGTGATGGTGAAACAGACTGTATGGATGGTAGTGATGAGCAGCAGTGTGCAGCTCCATGTGGTCCTGGCCAGGTGCCTTGCCTCAGTGGGGACCAGTGTGTGGACTACCAGCATCTCTGTGACGGAACCCCACACTGCAGGGATGCCTCGGATGAGAGTATCGACAACTGTGGTATGTTTATCTACATACAAATGTGAAAATATAGGTGTGAAGGAAATCCTGTTTTAGTTTAAACACATATTAATGGACAGTGACGATAATCATGTCCGTCACCAGGCTCTACTCGGATACCTCCCTGCCCTGGCAGTTTCTCATGTGACAACCGCACCTGTGTGAACATGTCAAAAGTCTGCAATGGCATCCCAGACTGTCCACGGGGCGACGATGAGTTGGTGTGTGGTGAGTTCTTTTGAGATAAAGGGAGCAAAGAGGTGAGAATGGAAGTACGGATGCATGGAGTGAAGGAATGGAGTGAAAGGCTGCAAGACACCAAAGACAGAATGTTTACAGAATGGAAGATAGAAATAATAATGCAAAGACATAATAAAGGATGGGAAGGAGTAGTTTGATGAAGAACTAAGAGAGGACAGTTTTTGATTGTGATCCTGTATTCTCTGTTATGTTCATTAACATCTTTGAAATCTTGTTCTGTGAAGATAAAACTGTCACACCAGTGCCCCCTGGCAGTCGGAACACCACTGTCACCTGTTCTGAATTCACCTGTATGGATGGAACCTGTGTCCCCTTTAACATGGTATGTCCTAAACCCACATGATATATACCTCCAGCAAGTCAAACATTATGTGTTCAGTTAGTAGTATGTGATTGAAAAGTAAAGAAAAGGAAGGATAAGTTGTGTTTCAGTCGCATTACATGACTGCATTATCTTGTAATGCATGATTGCATTATTCTCAGAGTTCGTCTGAGGATATTCATTTACCCACACACTTAGAAGGTGTAAAAAACAAAATTGAGACTTCTAAATTGTTCGGAAGTAATATACAATTACTGCATATTGCTGTTCATTTGTAGTTAAAATGTTTGTTTTGTAAAATGACTTAAAACATAAATCAAGTATAGCGATAGGAAAAAGAAATGTACGCATTTTCTTCATATTTATTCTTTAAAGGAGGAAAAAATGTGCAGATCCTTCTTGTTAAATTCAACCTGTCCGGTTTACTAACTGAACTCTATGTCTTAGGTGTGTAACGGTGTGGCAGACTGCCCAGACTCCTCACTTGCACCGCTTGGTGGCCCCACAGATGAGCAGGGCTGTAGAACCTGGAGCTCATGGGGCCTCTGGAGCCCCTGCAGCACCACCTGTGGAACGGGCTCCATGAGCCGGAAGAGATCCTGCCCTCCAGGGGACCCGCTGCACAGCTGTCGGGGCCAGGATGTCCAGAGGCAGCAGTGCTTCAACATCACCTGCCCTGGTACGGAGATAGAGCCCAATACATACATGTTTCAGAATACTTCCAGTAAACCTACGATTTGGACAGTTTTTGCCTGAAAGCAATTGTGGTCATGTGTTGGTGAGAAAAACTCAAGACAAAGGAAGTCTTCGTACAACTACTTCATGAGACGTGCGTAGGAGAAGGACAAGCACGTCAGAAAGTGTCAGATTCCTGCAAACTGTCTAACTTGCAAAAATGCATTTAAATGCATTTTGACAAGTTGGACAGTGTGTGGGAGTCTGTTGGAAACTTTTTGGTACGGTAAGAAAATTCAAGTGAAATGAAGGAGGTCACAGAAGTGCAGATGTCCAAAGGGGGCACTAACCTAGAAATGTGTCACTATTCACCAGTTCTTTGCTTAAAAAAAATAACATAAATAAATGGGTGCAACTCTTTCCCCTCACACATACTGCAGTTGAAGGCCATATATATATTTGTCACTCGCATCTGATTGCTGTCCTTCTTTCAGTGGATGGTCAGTGGCTGCCATGGGTGAGCTGGTCAAACTGTTCCAGTGGTTGTGGTGGAGTGCAGGTCAAGCACAGAGGCTGCATCCCTCCTCGCTACGGAGGCCGAGACTGCTCCCAACTTGCTGGACCATCCAACCTTCCCATGGAAATCAGTAAGAGCTGTCTTTGTAAATGTTCATTGCTGCTAGGGCTGGGTGATTTGGAGAAGATGTCTCATTGCGATGAATTTGTAAAACCATTGACAGACAGTTTGAACTCTGGGTCAAACATGCTGCAAAATTACAAGGTCTCATTAAATAATGAGGCTGATGTCAGATGAACCACAGCGTGCTTGCCCAAAGTGCATAGTATGCATTGATCAATGGACAAGCATAAACAACCCTTGAAAGTTTCAATATACTCCAGCGAAATAAAATAAAAAATAAACAACAATATTCCAAATTGCAGGTTCTGCACTTTGCTAATTGCATTGTTTTAAACTGCAATTTTGATTTGAACTTGAGTAGTTGTTGGGCCTTATTTGCTGCATCATACACACACAACATGTTTCACCACCGTTAAGGTATAGGTAGAAATCTTACACGCAAACAAAAAATCCAAACTATCTGTTTGATTTTATGTCACTGGAGGCGACAAAAAATGTTTTTGTAAATTCTTTGGGAAACTTTGTTTGGATATAAAAGATGGACGTAGCAACCGGCCCTGAAAAATGAAGCCAACCCGGAAGTATCAAAAACCTGCAATATGACTACGTCCGCTAGTTGCTGGCTCCAAAAAGCCCTGGCTCCCATAGAAATGAATTGGAAAAGAAGTGATCACAGATCACGAAATACCGCATTCCTCCAGCTCAGGATTTTTTTCTTGTTAGTTTTCATAGTCAAATCCAGAGATCAGGTGGCCAATCTGAAAATAAATCAATACTGAATTTTTAAAAAATCTTCATAATTTTGTGGGGCAAGGGGCGTGGCTGGCTTGATTGACAGTCGGCAGCGGCGATGCAGACGAAGCGAACAGAAGGTGGTAAATGTGGGTGGGCAGAGAGGGCCTGCCTCTCAATCCGTCTGACCAATCGCTGCTCCTATGGCTCCGCCCCCCTCCAAGCATTTTTGCATCACTGGCTCCAAAAATCCAAGATGTCAACCAGGAAGTAGCAAAACGCTGGCTTCATTTTCTCAGAAACCAACGGGTGACGTCACGGTAGCTACGTCCATCTTTTATACAGTCTATGGTTTGGTCAGACAGATGGTAATAGAATTTAGTAAAGGATGGAATATTACTGATAATGAGGTGTCTATTCTATCCCACTCTAGAACCATGTCCTAATGATGGATGTGCCAACACAAGCTGTCCTACTGGCCTGGTGAGACACAGCTGTGCTCCCTGCCCAGTGTCCTGTGCTCACATCAGCAGTGGGACGACCTGTGATCCGACGGCTCCCTGCTTCTCAGGTCAGTCAGGGGAGGTCAACACAGGAGAATTCTGGGATATCTTGTGTTCTAAAACAAATTGTTGCTTCTTTCTAGTTTGAATTGTTGAGATTTCTGTCACAAGCTTTTTTCTCATGAACATGTCTCCACCTGCAGGTTGCTGGTGTCCAGAGGGTCAGGTGATGAGCCATACACAACAGTGTGTGCCACCAGAGGAGTGTGTATGTGAGGTGGCAGGGGTGCGTTACTGGCCGGGCCAGCAGATAAAAGTGGACTGTGAGATTTGTGTTTGTGAGAGAGGGCGAGCTCAGAGATGTCAGCCCAACCCAGACTGCTTAGGTGAGTCAGTCAAATACACCAACCTAAAATCCAGACTTGAATATTACACACATGTGCACAAGTCTGAGCCGTCACAAGCAGTCAGTTTCGTCTCACTGTAGTGCACTGTGGCTGGTCATCATGGACTGAGTGGGGAGAGTGTTTAGGGCCCTGTGGTGTCCAGAGTGTCCAGTGGTCGTTCCGCAGCCCGAACAACCCCACCAAGCTCGGAGATGGGAGAACGTGCAGGGGAATTTACAGAAAGGCCCGCCGGTAAATAGCCTCCTTCTCTTTTTCATACTAATCAACCTCTAGGCTGTTATACTCCTTCTAATGGATACTCCATACATGGTGATTCTAAAGTGACTCCCCTAACCTTCTAAGTTGTGCCTCTGTCATTTCAAAATTTACCACTCTACATTTTCCAGAGTTTGCATCCTTCTTGTTTCTATTAGGGTCACCATCATAACAAATGTTTAATTGGCAGAAAAATGGAAATCTCAACCCTTTCTGAAGGATTAGTCTGTCTAGGAAACTGGTTTTAATAACTCTACTGATCACTACCTTATGACGAAAAAGTCCTTCTTGTACTTAACATCAAATCAAATGAGCACCTTGAATTAGAGTTTACTAAAAACCTTAATGTTCTCACACACGACATCTTACCAGTTTGATGCCTTGGTCCCTCAAGGATGAAATTCATGAAGAAACTATTTGAAACCATATTTTACAAGCTACCTAAAATTAATTTGAATTTGTCTGCTTGTATGTTGTGAAGCTGGTAATGTGGGCTGAGCATTTTCTCTATGATGTACCACAAAAAAATTCCACCAACTCCAGCTTGTGGCCATCTTAGTACAGTGATGACAAACTGTGTCAGTGACAGGTATACTCAACAAAACCTCTGTGAGGTTCCATTTAGGAATTGGCTACATGTCATAGTGCTTATGTGGAGAGCATTCCATAAATCCTGCATACAGTTTCCATGTCTATGTGTGTACACAGGTGTCAGACAGACCCCTGTGATGAGTGTGAGTATCAGGGTCAGTCCCATACGGTGGGAGATCGGTGGCGGTCAGAGCAGTGTCAGTTATGCCACTGTCTTCCCAACCTTACCGTGCAGTGTTCCCCCTACTGTCCATATGCTGTCTCCGGATGTCCTCAGGTAAGAGGGAGAGTGTGTGTGCTTCTGTGTACACATACTGTGTGTGTGTGTGTGTGTGTGTGTGTGTGTGTGTGTGTGTGTGTGTGTGAAAGAGAGGTACATTTATGTATTTATGACTGTTAATTTTGGCACCTGATATTGATATAGTTTTAGCCTTTTTTTGGCTTGTCTCAGTTTTAGTCACATTTTAGTCATTTGATTAGTTTTTGTCAAAAGAAACTCATTTTGCGTTTATTAGAAAGGAGCAATAGAGACAGACAGAATTTGTGGGCCAAGAGAGCAGGGGCATGACAAACAGTAAGGGTTCAGCCAGGGAATCACACCGGGGATTCACTGCTGACATTATTTGCATGGTATGCCCTCTGACTTCTTGGCTATAGGGATGAATTTTTGATTTTCATATCATCTTTTTGTGGATACAGCCTTTGCCATGTTTGTGTAGAAGTACCATGGTTACAAGTGTTATTCTGGTCTATGATGAGGTAATGTAAAAGAGAGTGTCTGGGTACCTCGGACTCTCCTCTGTAAATCCAGGTACCGTTATGGTTTTCAAACCACTCACATTTGCATTAGTGCCGTTATCTGTCTTGTCCAGTAAAGAGCAGCGACTTTATCAGAAGATGATTTACTTACTTATTCATTAATATCCTTGTTACTTGAGAACAGGTGCTAAATCACTAACATTAATACAGTGACACTGCAATAGCAAATATCTAGAGGATGACTTAGATGAAGTGTCGTCATTAATCCTGGAACTGACTCATTCCTTCTGACAGAAACATGAACGATACTTGACTGCAAGTATTGCTACATCCCCTTCACCAGTGTTACATTAGCACTGTTATATGAGTGTACCTCTTTATAAATGTTGGCTGCTGCCAAGAGGTTTGTAGTTTTTCTAAGCGGTTTCTGCTGCTTCTTATTAAATTATCATTGTAATTTGTAGGTAGGTTTTACTCGTAAATATGTTTTGTTCTGGGAACAGGTAACGTGAGATAACACTGACAGTCGCATAACATTACCCAATTTAAGATGCTTCTCACTGTCAGAAATACAACAACTCAGGTCATACTGAAACAGGGATATTTCTGGCGGCAGTGGAAACTTTTAGTGATTGAAAGTTGCAGTGTGTGTGACTCCACAGATGCTGCAGGTCACGGAATAAGACTTTGCCTTCAACTCGATCCAGCCACTTCCACCCCAGGGGTGCGCTCCGATGGGATGGAAGTGGACGAAACGCACAGGCAGTACTTGGTTGCTGATGCCAGTTTAGGATAGCGGTCACACTTCTGTTTCCACCATCGGTAGCGGCGGTGGAGGAGTGGCAGATACGCTCCACCGTTACCATCTGTGTTTACTTCCGAAAACACTGAGCACGCTCGCTGCGTGTGACGTCGTTGTGTCCTCTTCTGCACATGCAGGACACTTTTGGGTCGTATGAAGCTCACACAGGAGATCACATACAAGTCGCATTTAATTGGAAATGTGAACGAACTCGCAAAAAAAATCGGATTTCACAAAAAAATCCGAATTGAACATTAAGTCCTGCAGTCTGAACGTAGCCAATCTGATTGTTGAGTCAGATAATACGCTGTTATCCTTATTTGTGACACAAAATGTCATGTCGGAGTTGGAATCCAAGGCTGTCGGTATGTTCAGGATGTTTTTATGGGTTCCGTTCGTTTTTCCTAAAAACCTGTCGGGTAGCAAGGTTTTCGGATTGTTAAAGGTCAGAATGCCACTGTTAACGCATACTTATAAAATAGGCCTACAGGTGAACATTCCTATTCTTGTTCTTATTTTGACTCTAATCCTTTTTAGAACCAGGTTTCTTTGTACCGGGAGTTGGAGGTTCCAACGTACTTGTAGTTTCTGTTGCCCACTCTGTCTTTGTCACTTTGAGTGCTCCCCTTTTTAGCTTTGACAAACACTGCTGGCTGACTCATTTGACCATGACTTGAATGTGACAGACATCCATTTCTATGTAAAGGTTCTGTACTCTAGCTTTAAAATACCTATTCTTTTATTTGTCCTTTCCTCTTTAACATTTTTGTGGAGTTTTTCCTTCCAAAAAAAGTAATAATTTTATTTATTTTTTTATTTTTTTTAAATAGGACATCAATAAATTTGCTTCATTGTTTTTGTTGCCAGAATTATTTCTTATTTTCAGAGTGCACCTGCTGTATTTAAGTAGGGTTTGTGGAAATATGATAGCAGTACATTGGTGAATTTAAATTTATTGAATTTCCCTTCTGGGATGAATAAAGTATTTTTTTCATTAATTGGTTATGTGACTGTGTTTGCATCTGTGTTTCAGTTTTATCTCATGTAAACAGCCCAATCCACACTCTTAATGTACAGTTTCTTTTCCTCTATATCTTTTTTGTTTCCTCTACATAACTGTCTTCCATGGCAACTCAAATGTTCTTTGTTGGTGCAGGGACTAACTCTGGTGCCTGGAGAGGGAGACAGGTGTTGTTACTGCCAAGGTAAAAGTCCTTATGGTTGCTCTGCTCTTTGCTCTGATTAAATGTTTTCCTGTTTAATGGTCAACACAGTGATTGGCATTACCCAGTTATACATGGCTAAGTGACCTCCATGGTTACTAATGTCATTACTGAGTGATTGCAAATGTCAGATGACAGATAGGAACAAGTGATAGGAAATATTATGGGCTGTGTTTTTAGGTAATCACACACACTCACCCTGTTTGCGAGAGAGTGTTTGATTTTTTTTTTCCAGTTCATTTCCTGTGCTGCAAGCATCAGGTTGCTTGTGTCAAGGGCAGCTCGGAAATTCTCCCAAATCAGGGCAGCCAGTGGACCATTTTCTTGCCTTTTCCTATTGACCCCCAACAAACTGCATATTGCAATGTTTAAAAATAAATCGGATAGTTGACAAGACATCCAACAGTATATTGCACAGCAGTTTATGAGTCTGAAAAACCTTTCAGAATTCCTGCTTGCACTCTTGAAATGGGTTCAAAATGAAACCAACTCATCCCTCCAACATCAACCGGTGTGTCCGTTTGCAGTGCTGCATTCTGCTAAATACAATATAAACAACACTTTGTACATATATTAGTCTAAATCGGTGTAATTTGGAGCAGCAGTTTAGTGGCAAAATGATAAATGTAAAAACATTGCAATGCTAAAAAGATCTAGAAGATATTTCTGTGGAAACACTACTGTGGGAATAGTTTTGTTTACATTCTTGTACATAAGTAGAAATGAATAAAGAGATTTAGATGATTAAGAATATGAGACTGTCAACAATAATGCTGAAGCACTTAGGACCAGTGTGTAGAAGAGAGGTGGGGTATTTAGAAATGGAACTAATGATCTATAATCACATGGAAGTGAAACTTGTGTTTTCGTAACCTTAGAATGAGCCTTTTATATCTAAAGAAGGAACAGATCCTCTTCCACACAACTGGCTCTTAAAGGGAAAGAGATGGTGGGGCGAAGGGTATTCAGTTAATTGCAGCCTGCAACCTCACCACTAGATGCCACTAAATCCTACACACTGCTTCTTTAAAAGCTAATGTCCAACTTTTCAATAAAAATATGTATTCGCTTACATTTCTATGTTGCATCACCACTAGGAGACAATGACACCATACTTGTGACAATCAGCCCTGACACTGTTACCTCCAAGCCAGCAGAGGGCACTACACCTCTGGTTCCCACCTATCCACTTCCTCCTGGAGGTTAGTTTCTTTTCACATGTGCAGTTTTACTATATTCTATTATCCTTCATTTTCATAGACTTTCACCTCCTCTCCTTCTTGTTCAGATGAATGTTGGTCTCCTCTGGGAGTTCAGTCTCTCCCAGCCTCGAGCTTCAGTGCTTCATCACAGCAGGCTGGTCACCCACCTGATGCAGCTCGTCTGCATAGGTGGGACCCTCATAGAGACCTCCAGGTACACCAGACCTACTTATAGGTTTTTGCATTACTACAAGCAGGTTTTACAGTTTGTCTTCTTTTGGACTGATTCATATCCCCTCTGCAACATGCTTTATAATCTCTTTTCATCTCCCACCATCACCAGATCAAGATTTTACTCAAAATTTTGTATGTGTCTCATAATATTTTCTGACTAAATGACATTGCCATCTGTCTCAGTTATACCTTGTGCCCCCTGTTACCTGACAAAATGTAAGCATGCAAATATGGAAGACTAATATGTTAAATGGCTAGCAGCACCTGGAATATATCAACATGTTCACATTGTCATTGTGAAAATGTAAAACATGTATGTGCAGGGCTGGAGTCCAGAACCAGAGGAGTATAAGGACCTCCCCCAGCGGAGACCCGAGGGACGCACTGGCAACACACAAAGCCCCTACCTACAGATAAACCTGCTGCAACCATACAACATCACTGGTAAACATTCATGCAGGTGCTACTGAGCAAGTCATATTGTATGTGAAAATGTACTGTATATTTAGGAAATGTATAAAATACGTTGTGACTCTCTGCTCTTCAATAGGTGTGTTGACACAGGGTGGTGGTGTGTTCGGCACATTTGTGTCCAGCTTCTACCTCCAGTTCAGTCTGGATGGAAAACAGTGGTACACTTACAAAGAGCTTGTCACTGACGCCCGACCCAGAGCAAAGGTCCAGCTGCAAACAGCAAGTTTCTTACACTTTGAAGACATTGTCTCTGTTTTTTTCTCATTTTAAAACTGATGTATCATCGTTCTCCTGGCAGGTTTTTCTTGGTAACCATGATGATCGAGGTGTGACTGAGTGCAGACTGGACAGGATGGTGCTGGCTCAGTTTGTACGCCTGCTGCCCCATGACTTCGAGAATGGCATCTACCTTCGACTTGAGATCATGGGCTGTGGTGATGGTTAGTAGATTTCATATCCATCTGTGCCCCATGAAGTTTCTGGGCATTTTTTGCTTGTTTCACATTTTTACTTATTTTGGGCTCATTTTTCAGTGCAATATAAAGTCTTGCACCTCTGTGGAAATAACACAACCAACACTAGAGGTAGATAAAACTCAGAAAAGTCTGAAGTGCAGTATGACACAATTGTAACATCAATATTTTAAAAAGAAGCAACAAAAGTTGAATTTAGTAATTTCTTTACCAAAGATTTAAAAAACTGGAAGGTTGGTGTTACCAATATAAAAATGATCACCCTACACACTAAAGATATTTAACTACTTATATTTTTAATTTATGTCTACACTCTTCTCCTCTCTCCTTTATGTAAACACAAGCTGCATTTCAGCCCATTTGGTTAAAAAGTCCCTGGATTTTTGGCTCACATGGTTGGGCACAGCCGAGTCATTGCTACTTCTTTGGTTGCCATGAGGAGCTCAATTTTTCTCTCTCTTTTTTATTTTTACAGAATCTGGTTAGAACAAACTGTTTATGTCTGACAAATTTTTGAATGAGACATGAATAGAATGAAGCAATTTCGATGAACTATCACAAGCTTCGATTTAATCAACTTAAGCACATCACAGATGGGTGAAGGACTGTCAGAGAGTTGATGAACCAATAATTATTTTATTTCTTCTTTTCTTGTTTTTACAATTTTTGCCTCTGATAAATGGTGTCATTCCTGCAATATTTTAAAGAAAACATATCTTTCAAACCCAGCAGTGGGTTTTGGGGTTCAAATGGTTGATGCTAATTTGTTGGTGTTGCATAAATTACACATTACAAAGTACACAGTAGATTTTAAAATGGTCGCTTCTCTCTTCTCCAGTTCATCACTGGTTGACGTCCCCCACCCCTCCCTCGCCAATCTCCCCAGGAGGTGGCTGCAGAGAGAAAGAGTTCCAGTGTGAAAATGGTCGCTGTGTGCCAGCAGGCCCGCTGGGGGTTGTGTGTGATGGTGTCAATGACTGTGGGGACAGATCTGATGAGATGTATTGTGGTGAGCTTTCACACTGTTAGCAGTCTGTTGGTAGCCAGTTGAGACTGTTCTTTTTTGTATTTATTTATATGCTTCAGATGAAGGCAGGTTATCAGCAAGTGACACTGCAACAGCTCAAATAAGTTTTCCTTCCTTACTTCTTGTTTCTTCTTTTCACCCAGGTGCTTTTGTAAGTGACATCAGTTAGAAATTAATACCAAAATCACTCTTCCTTTGTATGACTTCTTCCTATATGCAGGTACACAGCCTTCTCCTACAGCTACCAGTCCACGTAGCTGCCCTGCTGGTCAGTTCTCCTGCCCCCCACCAGGGGGCTGCATTAAGGCAGTGCAGCGTTGTGATGGAATTCCTCATTGCCCCAGAGGAGAGGATGAAAACGGATGCCACCCCTACGACAACATAACCACTCAGTCAGACAGGTGAAGGGGGAAACTTTTTGTTGTTGTAGTCACAACATCAGTAATAGTAATTGTATTTTTACAAGTTTGTGTGATCTCAGTTTTGATCCAGAATTTGAATTCTCCATATTTCTTTTTATTGTTTGTACCAATTTGTAGGCCTTACACACCCACTGCTGCTCCTCTGAGGACTCCGTCGATGGCAGCTGTCACTCATCCTGCCGTAAAACCAACAGTAAGGGAACATTTAAATGAAAAATGCAGCAGGAACAATAGGATCCTTGGACAATAGGACCCCTGCTTGCTGCAGCGAGTAGGGGTCCTCGGACCCTAAATATCAGTTCCTCCAAAATATGACTCTTGGTGTCACTGGTGTTTATTTAAAATTGTAAATGTCTTAACAATGGTTATATTGTTAACAATGGTTCTTCCAGATTGTCATATGTGTCAGAATGAGTTCATTTAAAGATACCTACAGATAGAAGGATGTGCTCTGGGATTATACATAACAGAAACACATATCTTTAATGCGATCATCTCATGTGTTTGAAGTATTAGAACACTTGTGTTTTCCAGTCAGGATTACAATTTTAAAAAATCATAAATATCGTACAGCTACAATTTCTACCAATAGTTTTCACCCTTCTTTGTAGTTATGCTTGAAATGCTTGCAGACTGAACAGACTAAACAAGATCCAACAAGATCCAAATGTTACAGATGTTAATATAGCCACATAGCAATAGAAACTAATGTATTCTAATTTGATCTAATGTATTTACAGGATGGTGGTCCAGGATATCAAGGTATGGGTCGAATGCTATTTTAAACTGTTCCTTTTTGTGTGGTCTTGTTATCTTTTGTTGTTGACTTGTAAAATGTTTGTTCTACTGAGAAATTCATTTTCTCCTGCATACACAGTGCCTTGATGTGTTTTATCTGGAGTGTTTAGAAGGCCAGACCTAATGGTATTGAGAATTATCGTACTTTGCAGGCATCTGCTCCTCGTCTCTTGGACTGGAGGATGGGAGGATTCGTTATGGTCAGCTGTCCTCATCCTCACATCGTGAGAACAACCCTGCTGATGCTGGACGACTAAACATTATTCCTAATGTGTGAGTGATCAGATCTTTGTAGGGTTATCTCATCTGATTCAAAAAATATCCTAAGGTCATACAGTACCTGACTGCATGTATGTAAAAGACTTGAAAATCGTAAAATCGAGCAGGAACACTTCTCTAACATTCTTTCTCTATCATATATTTTTAACGCCTGCCTATTTGCATATCTGTTTGTTTTTGTTTTGTGTCTGTACTCTGTCTCCCCTTTCCCCTGCCACCCTTTCTCATGTCTTCTCACACAGCAGTGTTTTTCCCATCTCCATATTTCCCATCTGTCCATCATCATTCTCACATACATCAATGTACAATTTTTACACATAATTTAGGATGCGGTCCTGCCTCGTTAGCTGCTTTATATTTTTTATGTTTGAAAAGGAGATCATAAAGCATTCACTTGAGTAAAAAAAAATGTTTGTCTCTGATGCCTGCAGTCAGGTTATGGAGCCTGGTTGGAGCCCGTTGCCTACAGATCCCCAGCCATATTTTCAGGTGGATTTCCTAGAACCTACATGGATATCAGGGGTTGTGACACAGGGCAGTGAGCGCATGTGGGGTTCCCTCACAAAATACCGCCTGGCATTTTCCCTGCATAGCAGCCTCTTTATAGACTACACTGAAAATGGGGAGCCTGGTGGGCCTGCTAAGGTATTTGATGTAATTTGCATATTTAGACAGTATAATATTCTTGAACAGTATAGCATCAAATTAATAAACATGTATTTTTGCACAAGACAAGTAGAACAATCCATTACAATACTGTTGTCTTCCCATGCTTAAGTGTGTTCTCGGCTGTTGTGTAGATATTTGAGGTGCGGATGGTAGGCAGGACCCCTGTGACCCGCTGGCTCGGTCGGCTGGTCAGAGCTCGCTACATGCGCATCATTCCCACGGAGTTCAGACACATCTTCTACTTGCGTGTGGAGATCCTTGGCTGCAGAGGTGGTGAGTAATTGAATAGAAGAATAGAATAGAGAAATACTTGATTTATCCCAGGCCTGGGAAATTACTGTGATACAGCAGCAACAAAAGAAAAAACACCAATCACAACAGAAAAGGGCTAAAGTTAAATACTATTTAAAAAATGAAAAATAAAAATAAAGCGAAATTAAAATAAAATAAAATAAATGAAATAAGTGTACAAAATGTGCAAATTGAAAAAAACAGTGCAAAGACAAAGGATTTTACAGAGCAGAGAGCTGAGAATGCTCTCTGCCACACAGAAGTGAGGTGTTCCTGCCCAGAGTTATTGCTCTGGGCAGGAAAGATTTCCTGTACCGGTCCTTGTGGCAGCGGAGCTGAATCAGTCTGTTTGAGAAGGAGCTCTGCTGCCTGTCCAGAAGGGAGTGGAGAGGGTGGTCAGGGTTATCCAGAATAGATAACAGTTTGTTCAGAGTCCTCCTCTCCACCACAGCTTCCATGGACTACATGGATAAGTATAGATGGTCATCAATACCACTTCCTGCGCCTACTAACTTATCTAAAGGGTTTACAGAACTAACATTGAGCTGTATAGCCTACCTCACATTAGTGAATATGAAAATGATTTTCCCTCTGCTTGTGTAGATGAGCTGGTGACCCCCAGTAGCGTGACCAGGTCTCCCTCTGGGGGTGGGAAAGTGACTGTGCAGCGCTGTAGGCCAGGCCAGTTTTCATGTCACCACAGTGACGAGTGCGTCGCTGTGTCTGTGCTTTGTGATGGTCGACCAGACTGCAAGGACCATTCTGATGAGATCAACTGTGGTAGGGATAGGCATGATTTCTTTTTATGAGTAATTGCCCATCAGTCATACTAATTTCTGGTCTTAGTGGCATCAGGTGACCAGAAATAATGTACATTTAACAGTTCGATATGCAGATTATCTGTATCTCTGATGACTTTGTTGTTTTATGTTTGTGTTTGTTCATGTGTCTTTTTCTGAATGCTTCTCAGGCACAGCTCCAACCAGAGGCTTTCCAGGCCTGCAGAACCAGACCAGCCCCACAGGGAGACCAGGTTTTCATGGTGCCAGTACAACAGGTGCCCCTGGTCTCCATACCACAAGGCCCCAAGGTGGCCTTCCTGGTGTGGCAACATCAGGGGTCACTGCACCAACGACATTTGATAAGATCACACCTCCGAGTAGTGGTAAGTTTAATCAGCCAGCTCTCCAGAATGCAATACTTTTCCGAGAATGTGTCAGTTCTGATTTCGTGTGGTTGTATTTGTGCAATGATGGTCATGAGGCTGACTTGGTGCCCATCCCACTGACACAGATAACACTGTGCTAGCTATAGTGGTTGAAAGTAGTGCTTTTTTTCTCTTCACCTGCTCAATCCATGTCTCACTGCCTGACACATGAACAATCTATTCAACTTTTACTGTTTATCACAGATGAAGTGGTCTGTAGTTGATTATTTTAAAAAGCAAATTGAGAAGAAAGGGGAAGAAGGCGTTGGAGTGGCAGAGGTCCTGACTCAGACACATCTGATGAGAGTACAGGTGCAGGGAGATGTAGACTGAGCGAGGGGCACAACAGCTGTCGCAGTACGAAGGCAACAAAATTAAATGAATATTAATCACATTCAGGACTTTGGCTTCCCACAATTTAATGATCAGATCAAGTGTGATATTACCATGTGACATGCTCAGCTCACAGAATGCTTGTCAAAAACAGCCAGCATGCATGTGAGGTGTTTGGGGCACATCTGTAAATTATAGGCTCTGTCAGTAAGCAGATAAAATTAAGTAAAATAAAATAAAGTTTTATTCTAATTTTTATTCTAGATGCTTACTAAGAGAGGAATTTATCCTGTGTCCAGTTTAGGAGTAATATCAGACAACCTTAGAGAAAAAGTGATGGCAACATTAATATATTTTTAGACTAAAATATGTAGTTGTTTTACATTTATATACACAGTGTTACTTGTGTCTTATTTGTCCTAAACAATGAGGTTGTTCAACTCCCGGTCCATCTGTTTACCCAGGGGTCACAACAGGTCACCCTGGACTGCATCTAACCACATCGCTCCACCCTGGTAGACCTGGTCTCCATACCACAAAGGGTGACACTTTGTGTTCTTCCTAGTTATCCAACAAATAAACTCACTTTATAGAAAGCACAGAATGTCACTTCTGTAATCTATTGATCTACAGCCCCAGCGATCACCACAAGCCCCCATGATGGTGGCCTACCCAGAGTGCTTTGCGTGGAGGGCCAGTTCCAATGCTGGTCATTCGGCTGTGTGGACTCGGGTCAAGTATGTGACGGCAGGCAGGACTGTTTGGACGGGTCAGATGAAGAACGCTGTGGTAACTATACATTATAATGGTAGAGTGTTCTGTATTGAGAACCTTTTTAACATGGTGTCAGTAGTTTCAAGTAAAGTATGAAATGAAAGTAAATCATTTTTAATTCTCTATGATGTTTTTTACCTGGATATTCTTAAACGTACATGAAACAAAGTTTTGTTATTTTAATATTTTTTTGCATCAGGCACAACAGCAAGGCCAGCAGTGACTCCCCAGCGCCCTCTGGTGCCCAGCCGCTGCTCTCCAAAGCAGTTCTCTTGTGACAGCGGGGAGTGTATTCACCTGGACCGCAGGTGTGACCTCCATAAGGACTGTGTGGATGGCTCAGATGAAAAAGACTGTGGTAGGATATATGTGCATGTCAAAAGTGGTGATGTGGCTAAAGAATGCATTTTCCTTCACTTACCTTGCCTATTTTCGTCTGTGTTTCTGTAGTGGACTGCATCATGTCCCCGTGGACAGCATGGAGCACCTGCAGCGTGTCATGTGGTCTTGGCTCCTTGTTCCGGCAGAGGGATATAATAAGGGAGGCCCTGCCTGAAGGAGCCTGTGGTGGAGCTCAGTTTGACAGTCGAGCCTGCTTTCCTAAAGCATGTCCAGGTCAGGACTGTGAACCTTCAAAATTGTCCAGAATTTGACGTAGTGGTAACATTAACCCAATCCACGTCTCCTCTTGTAGTTCATGGTCTTTGGTCAGAGTGGACAGAGTGGTCTGAGTGTGATGCTGAGTGTGGAGGAGGTGTCAGACAGAGGAACCGAACCTGCTCTGCTCCTCCTCCTAAGAACGATGGTCGGGACTGTGAGGGCGTGACCCGGCAGAGCCAGAGCTGCAACAACCAACCCTGTACCAAAGAAACTGGCACACAGACAGGTCACGGTCATGTGCATTTTTCTACTGAAGTTTAAACATTTGCAATATTTTGTTTTAGCCTGAGGATAGTAGTCAAATGCTCCTAACTTGATTAATTTGATTACTTAATTGCTCCCAAATTTTATCATAAAATGCTTGAATTATATTACTCTTCCATGCATGAATACTAACAAACTGATTCAATGGTTGCTCAGGTTGTGTCAATGGCATGCTGCTGGTGACAGAGGAAGACTGTCAGACTGGGAGAGTTGACCCCTGTCCTCCTACCTGCTCACATCTCAGTTTGACCAACAACTGCACTGCAACATGCATACAAGGTGGGACACACTGTGTACTTGAATTTTAATATTGTGTTTGTGCAGTTGAATATGTTCATCCAGTGTGCTTGCACTGCACCTATGTGAAATGAAAAGTATACAGTTTGTGCCTTATTCCTTATCTTTTATTGTGTACGAGCAAGCAATCACATAACTCTTTGATATGCTTCTACACGTCTGAGCATCATTGAGAGAGTGATTGTGTCAATTGTAGACAAACAAAGTAATATTTCTGAGATGCATTTGGTGTTTTATTGAACATTCCCCTGAGAAAACATGAGAATATTACTGGAAATTTCCACCAAGACTAAACTTAATGGGCTGTTGTCTGTTAAAAAGATGATTTGTGACTGTGATTGGGTTTGCAATATTGTTCTCTTTTTTTAAAAAGCCACAAAGCTGCACTGAAGCAATGCCAGTGATATTTTTGCTAGAAAGATCGTGGCTCACATAGACTCGTTCTGTGGTAGCTGAAACCTCAATTAAGATATAAATTATGCCTTTTCTCCAGGGTGTCGCTGTCCCCATAGGCTGTACCTTCAGGAGGGGCGATGTGTTAATTCCAGCCAATGTGTCTGTCACTGGGATAGCCAAATACTTCAGCCAGGACAGGTGATCAGCAGGGACCAGTGTACCACTTGGTGAGAGATACAGACACATTTTGAATTTTAATAAAAAATAATGGCACTAAACAAGCAAATCACTTCTAACTCTAATTATACTGAATTTTGTGGGTATTTTATCTCAAAAGCTGCATTGTCTGAAGAAGAATCTACTATTTAAGCTGCATAATCCCAATTTTTCCCAGCATTGTGAGGGACGACTCGACAAATCTTATATATAATGTCATTGGTTTGTGAGTAAATGAAAAAAATCTTGAGGGGATTGCTTAATATTTTACCACCAGTATGTGCAGAGATGGCCAAGTCACCTGTGACACGTCCAGCTGTGTGACAAGCTGTCATTGGTCAGCCTGGTCGTCATGGTCACCGTGTGACGTAACCTGCGGCCTGGGGCTACAACAACGCTACAGGTGAACTTTTTTAATTCAAAACTTTTTTTAAGCACCATTTTCTTTGTTGGATGGAAATTTTCAGACCTTGTAAGCATCCTAATTTAATTTTCTATATAAATTATTTTAACAACAGCAGTTTGATTAGATTGCATTTAATCAATAATTCTCTATGTATTTACATTGTCTTTGTACACTCTAAAAGACCAGCTGCCCACTTCTTGCCTAAGTTCTTTAATGTGTTCGGTTTTTTTAGTTGCATATGCTTAGATAACTCACAGTTATTATATCCTAATCTGCAAGTTTTTCACTGATGTATCATTTACTGTTTGCACCAACAGCCCAGGTTTCTCCCCAGACATTGTTCCTAATAATTTGCACTTCTAACTAATGTCTTTAATGAACCTGTTAAGAATATATGTTGTTGTTTTTTTTTGCTCACAAATCACTTAATAGTTTAGATCAGGTTGAGGAGTTCTCATTCACAGAATTTCTTTTCTCAGGTCTCCTGTGAATCCAGCAGGAGCAGTCAGAATCCAGCCCTGTCCAGGAGACTCCTCTGAGGCCCGTCGATGCTCCAGCCCATGTGCCCCTGGTATGTGAACTCACACCTTATACACACAACAGCTACACTTTCATTATCATATGTTAGTGCACGTGAGTCCCTCCGTTTGAAAGTGTTGGCCCTCCTTGCATTTTGAAACAGATCCATAGTGACTTTCCACGCCACTAGAAAAGTGTTCTATTTATCCTTTTAACCCAATTTATATGTACTTGTTTAATTTCCACTCATTGTGAGAGTCTCTGCTGCAGTTTTGAGCTTCACCTTAGCTCAGCCTTCTGTGGTCATGTCTATTCCACGCCGGTCTTGAGTCTCTGTTTGGATGCTCCAATCTATCCTCAAGCAGGCCTGGTCCATACACTGGTCCGCTCCAGTCTGGCTGACCATGGAAACAGACACACATGGAGTGGAACAGATAGACACAAGAAAGGGAAAAATAGATGAAGTGAAGATAACAACAACTCGTTACAGCCGTTCAGTGTATTTTTCAGTGCTAGCATAGGCCAGTGGCTGTGCCATGATTATCTTTTGTTGGCCCCCATGTACACAGTCTTTTAATGTGCAGGTTTGTTTAGGTCTGGGATGCTGGTGTTTTAGAGACATTATTTGGTTCTGAATGTTTCACAGATAACCTTCAACACAGACATTTTTACAGAGGGTTTCTAATCTAACACTTTATAGGACCAAAATGTTTGCCGCATTGCATCTTGTAACTATAATGTTTTACATTTAAAATTGTTGTGGTCTTTAAAACATACAAAAGAGCTGTTCCATGCTGCATGGGACAACAGTCCCAAGACAGCTTTTCGTCAAACACTAACGATTATTCTGCCCTCCTCTTGTTGTGCAGTGCTGCCAGATGGTGTTTGGAGTAAATGGACCAGCTGGTCAGAGTGCAGCAAGACATGTTTCAACCATGTCGATGATGTAGGAATTAAACAACGATTCCGCAGCTGTAACCACACACTCTCACTGTCCAGCAACATACATGCACATTCTCTCTGTGATGGAGACAGTGAAGAACAAGAGCCTTGCAACACTGTTTACTGTCCAGGTATGACAAATGCAGATGTGCATAACACATCATAACACATATACAAAAACTACCAAAAAAAAAAAAACAAAGATTGAAAAGCTGACTTTTGTTTTATGCTTCCAGTGCATGGTGGTTGGTCAGCCTGGTCACTGTGGACTGAGTGTTCAGCCAAGTGTGATTCTGGTGTCCAGACAAGAGAGAGATTCTGCAATTCACCAGCACCACAGCATGGGGGTAATAGCTGCATTGGACCTCATATACAGACAAGGGACTGCAATTCCCATCCCTGTTCAGGTACTGTGACATGTTTGCTCGGTACTTAAGCAGGGCAATTGAATATTACGTTGTGAATAGTACTACGCTAACATTTTACTGTGTTTGTGGTGTTTTTGTGTTTTTTCTCAGTTCTTGATGTTATTTTATCCACCTCGTTCACTAAAAGCCTGTGTCCTATTTCCACTCTTCTCAGATGTGTGTCCAGAGGGCATGATGTACATGTCAGCTGCTGAGTGCGAGCTTCAGGGAGGTGCGTGTCCACGGGTGTGCTTGGACATGACCTCCACAGAGGTTCAGTGTGCCACTGCCTGTTATGACGGCTGCTACTGCGCCCTGGGCTTCTACCTGCTCAACAGTAGCTGTGTGCCCTTAGAACAGTGCCCATGTTACCACCAGGGGGAGATGTACCCAGCCGGTGCCATCCTGCTTGTTGATGCCTGTAATAACTGGTACCTCTCTTTACTCATGGAATAACTTCAGATTAACGATCAAAATGTGTTCACAACATCCATAAATAGAAGAAATCCTGACATTTTTACAATTCGGCATCACTTGTTCTTGCCTTGTGTGTCTCAAACAGTACCTGCATTAATGGAGTAATGGAGTGTGGGACATCTCCCTGCTCTGGTGAGTGCATTTCTGTAAATTAAAAGTTATGATATACATTTTTTCTCATTGTGTTTCTCTCAGTCTTTGTGTATGTCCCATTTTTTTGGTTGCCACGTTCTTTTTTATCTTTATCATGTGTGTGTGGCTTTGTGTTTCCTAGTGGATTGTGGCTGGAGCAGCTGGACACAGTGGAGTGCCTGCAGTCGAACATGTGATGTTGGTGTAAGAAGGAGGTATCGTTCAGGAACCAATCCCCCTTTGGCTTTTGGTGGTCGTCCCTGCAAAGGAGACAGAGTTGGAATTGACACCTGCAGCATTGAACCTTGCATTGGTGGGAAACACTTGGTTGCTATTGTTATTATACATAGAATCTAGTGTTTACAAGTTAGTAAAAAAGTAAAAACGTATTTTAAATAGAAGTGAATAAATCCAGTTGTAATGTGTGTGAAGCTGTAAGGGAGCCATGGAGTGCGTGGTCAGAGTGTTCAGTCACGTGTGGAGGAGGTTATAGGACCAGAACCCGTGGGCCAATCAGAGTCCATGGCACCGCTCAGCAGTTCAGCGCCTGTAACCTGCAGCCTTGCGGTACAACAGTAACTATATTAATATACATTACAATACATTGCATTAAACTGTGTTTTTGCATGAGAAGGCAATAAAAAAAAAACTGTAAGTATAATTAATAGTGATCACATTTTTAAACAATTTTAGTAAGAAACTGCATATTTAAAAAACAAATTTAGGAATGCATATGTTAATTAAGTGAATACATCTAAAAAAAAAAGTCACATTTTGGCATTTTTGTATCCATTCATATTTGTATTATTGATTATACTAATAAGGTTTCTACTTGGACTCTATTGTGGTGTCAGGTAAAGGCAAGGAGTGTCCTCCAGGCCAGGAGTGGAAGCAGTGTGTCACAGGGCCAGTGTCATGTACAGACATCACACTGGACCTCAGCAGGAACTGCACACCAGGCTGCCAGTGTCTACATGGGGCCGTCCAGCAGGTTGATGAGTTATGGAAATGCACACATTAATACACATATGAAGTAATTATGGTATTTTTGCTCATGGTCCTCTACGTTCCCAGGATGGTGTGTGTGTGCAGGAGTCTGACTGCCGCTGTGACATTCATGGAGAGAAGCACAGACCCGGAGACACCGTCCCTACAGACTGCAACAACTGGTATGTGAAACTGTCTTGCTTCACTTGCTATATGAGCCATCACAAAGTGCTTCTTTAGAAATAGCGATAGAACTGATCAAACTTCTTCATAATGTTTCAGCACATGTGAAGGAGGAAGACTGGTAAATTGCTCTCGAGTCAACTGCAATGGTAGGAAAAACACCACTGAATTTATACAGCCACTGGTGCTTTCTGCTGTGCTTTGTCTTTTACTTGTGTTTTGTTATGTCCTCTTTCACTTTATTTTCTCACACGAAACTTTTCCTGTTCTGTCCTTTCACATGCGAACAAACACCGCTTTGTAGTTGACGGCCAGTGGTCAGTGTGGACTCCCTGGGGTCAGTGTTCAGTGTCGTGTGGAGCAGGTCTCCAGTCTCGGTACCGGTTCTGTTCCAGCCCCCAGCGTGCTGGCAGTGGTCTGCCATGTCTAGGCCCTCACCGTGAGGACCAAGTCTGCATCATCGCCTCATGTGACCGTGAGTTCATTCTGTGTCATCCTGTATTGACTGACACTGTAGCTGTGTGAGCACATTTTTCTCTGTCACTTAATATGAGTCAGTTATGAGAAAAATTACAGTTGAACACCCTGTCAGACTCATTCTGCCACTGGATGACTATTTATAACCTCAAGTGGATGACAGTAAGCACACTGTATACAGCCAGCTCACATTGTCACACATGGTTTATCCTGAGAAATGAGAGGCCATATGATCTACAGTTTACGAGGTGACATTTATACTCCTTTAAAATGCTGGAAATACTGGATTTATGTATTTGCTGTTGAAATGAACTGATGCACTCAAATCTTTATGTGTTGTGTAGTTGGTTTTGTTTGTACTACTTCATCATGACGTGTTGGGTCTTTTCAGGTGATGGTGGCTGGGGTCATTGGAGTACCTGGACAGAGTGCACCAAGTCATGTGGTGGGGGGATGCAAAGCCGGAGGAGAGAGTGTGACAGCCCCAGTCCAGAGGGGGAGGGGAATTACTGTGAGGGGCTGGGAACTGAAGTCAAAGCCTGCAACACTGACCACTGTCCAGGTACTGGCTTTGAGGATGTGATGTCTGCTATCTATACTGAGTTTTGTGCACTGTCGTGGATTCCATGTCAGTGATATTACAACGTGTGACTTTGTGTGTGTTTTCAGTGCCACCGTGCTCCCAGGTCCCAGGCACAGTGTTCAGCAGCTGTGGGCCCTCCTGCCCTCGCTCCTGTGATGACCTGGCAGTGAGTATCACCAAACATGACTCCTTTTCACCCATTACTACTAATTCAACATTAAGTCCTACTTCTATACTATAATTTTCCCTCAGCACTGTGAGTGGCACTGTGAGCCAGGATGCTACTGTACAGAGGCAAGAGTCTTGTCTGCTAACGGTACAGTCTGTATAGAGAGGGACGACTGTCCCTGCTTGGACCTCAACACTGGACACCGACTGGAACCAGGAGAAACTATAGACGCCCCTGATGGATGCAACAACTGGTCAGAATAACATACACACAAGGACCACATACAATACATTCATGTGCAACATAATACACCTACAGAGAACCAGTCAACAATAATCATTCTGGTCGTCTGTGTTTCAGCACCTGTGAGGGTGGGAGGTTTAACTGCACTAGAGACCCCTGCCCAGGTGACCACAGCCATCTTTGAGTTTCTGTATTTGTCATTATCAATGATCATATAAATGCTTAACAGACCTGGGAGTGACCGTTTCATAGATTTTCCAATCACTCTGGTTTCTTAGTGCCAGGTGGCTGGTGCGAGTGGTCAGAGTGGACTCCCTGCTCCAGGACCTGTGGGGCAGAGTCAGTGTCCCGCTATCGGAGCTGTGGCTGTCCTGAGCCCAAGGCTGGAGGGGCGCCCTGCCCTGGGGAGCAAGAAATACACAATGGGATTGGAGTTCAAATCCAGAGACAGCCCTGCCCTGTCATGACCTTCTGTCCAGGTAAGATATTACCACTGAGGTAGAAACATTTGTTTAGGAAAACCAATATTACATAAAGGCTTCTGTAAAAAATGTGTTTACTGCTCGGGCAGCTTTGGCTAAAAAAAAAAGATACATTCAGGTGAATTTGGTTTGACACAAGTTATCCACTCTATCAAACTTTAAGCTTTAACGCTTCAAGCCTAATGGATGCACCTTGCATCAAAATTCATATCCGGTCTACTTGGTTGAATTTCCCTTGAAATATTACACTTATACTGTTATACATATCAAATGAACCCATACGACCTGACCTCTCTAACAGTGCTAGTTGCTGCTCTGTGCAGTAATCCTGAATTTACTTGAAATTTATTCATAGTTACAATCTGCATAAAATTGTGTTTCCAGCTCCACATACGTTAGTCGTCTTGAATGATTTATGAACTCATCATTGCGTATGGTAATGTTAAAATATATTATTATTAATGCAATGCAATGCAATGCAGTGGTAATATCATATTACAAGAAAGAGTGGAACTGCAACTTTGCTATGCTTTCTACATATTTCTACCAAGGTAGTAACATTACAAATACAGATCAACCTTCTGCAAAGTAATGTCTTCACTAATTTCTTCACCCATTTTCACACTCCTGCCTCTTGGTTGAATAAGTCAAAAAGTCCCACCTGTTTCATAACATTGGCCTACCACATATCCAAATAATATCTCTGTGCACCAAACAGTAATCTGGATTTGAAATCGATTTTCATTATCTAAAACATAAGGCTGACAATAAATCTAATTTTGTATAAAAGCAAACATAAAATAGGGGATTTAGTTTTGTATTGCAACAATTCAGAGGTTGTGGGCCTCTTGTTTTGATGTAAAGTAGACTTTGCTGAAAAAAAACAAAAAAAAAAAACACATGGTACATCATGTATGGCTAGATCTCATAATGGCAAAGATAAGATTTTAAAAGTAAATTTTTTTTAAAAATTAGTAAAATACCATAAAAGAGCTTGTAGCCTAGGAGCATAATAATAAATGCCCTTTTCCCCCACTTTGTCACAATTTGTCTTTCTGTTGTGTTTGTGTTGTTTTCTGCTTCTGTTGTTTGCCACGATGTGTCTTTGTCTCTTACTCGTAATTTGGTGCTTGTCTATTTAGGTTGACTAATGAATCAACCTCTTCTTGTTTTCCTCTCCCATTCCTGATTCTCACTCAGTTGTATATAGTTGCATTGTACCTCCCCTTCTCATTTCTTTTTTTATCTCTCCCTCTAGTTCATGGTTCATGGAGTCCGTGGTCAGCGTGGTCAGAGTGTGATGGGTGTGCTGGGTCGTCCACTCGTACCAGGGAATGTAACAGTCCTCCCGCCAGATTTGGTGGTCTGGCCTGTCTGGGGGAGAGCAGGCAGAGCCGCGGTTGCCACGACAATACCACTGTCTGCTCAGGTCAGCATAATAAAGGATGTATATTTACTGTGAGTGCATGCAGAAAAATATGTGTGTTCCACATAAAAGACAGGTTGCTTAATGAAAGTGAGGATAAAATGAAGAATTAAAGACATGCTCTGGAAAAGATGAAGGAAAAAATTAAGAGAGGCCGTATTTTTTCAGACATGTGAATAATGTTACAGAGTCTGGTCTTGTCTTTTTTTAATTGTCTCCTATTGTTCTAACCAGCTGTATGATGGTTGAATATGTCAGTCAGAAATTTTAATTAAAAAAAAAAAAAAAAACAAAGAGAGAGAGAGGCCTTACAAGAAACATGACGGCATTATAATACATTGCTGTATCTTTTACTGGAGGTGAAACCTGGGAGAGAGAATAGCCTACTTGAGTTGAAATATAAGAAGGCAAAAGGCCTGTTGAAGTAAAAAGGGTGCCTGAAAGGGAAGATTAATGGAGCCTCTGGCGTGGTTGAACTCCTTCTGCCCTCTTATGTTCCTGTGAATATCCAGTCACAACAGAATGATAACTGGGGTTACTGGTTAACAATAGCGTGACATTTTTTTTCTTTGGAGCAAGAGGACAGTGCTGTGCACACGGGTGGACAAGTGTCAGAGGAAAAATCCAAAGAAACGCTGTTCATAAATCATCTATTCAGGAATGAATTGGATTTATTTACACACAATACAGAGGTTTCTTGGTTTTTCAATACAGCTTTGATAGATTATGGTTTCAACTAGTCACATGTTCCATCCAGCTCAGCTGTATCTCTGTCCATTTAGAGAGGTACTTCTTTCTAGAATTTGGATTTTTTTTTGCCCCTTTTGTAGTCCTGGGAGTTTCAGCTTTGTTTTTTTATTAGAATTACTGTAACTTGGATTACTGTGGATCTCCACAGACATATCTCCCAGGAACAACTGCTCAAAACTGCAGTCTGCCCTGTTACTCCTGATGTGTTTTAGAGTAAACGTGAACACCCTGTGACTGAAACGAAACACATTTAAGAAATCAGCCTCGAGAAGGACCGAAACAAGAGGAAATGGATGTCAATTTAATTTTTATTGCACAACACCTATTATTTTACTCTATTTGTTAACTTACTTCCCCCTGTTCTCTGAAGACTGTGGTGGAGGCCAGGAGGAATGGCCATGTGGGAAGCCCTGTCCTCGCTCCTGTTCGGATCTCCATGGTGACACAGAGTGCTTGGACTCCCCCGGGTGCAGCCGGACCTGTGGGTGTCCAGGTGACATGGTGCTGCAGGATGGAGTGTGTGTGGCCAGGGAGGAGTGTCGCTGCAAGTACCACAACAGCTCTGCTACTGGTTCGATCCATTTTCTGTTTATATGCAAATTGCTAATGGAGTAATGAAGTCACTCTAGTCAGACTAGTTGAATAGCTGGACTAGGACGATATATGTCGAATCAATACATTTTTGTCTCTGGTGAATTCAACCTTTTTTTTTATTTGTTTGTTTTGTCTCTTCGTGCAGATGGTCTGGATTCCAGTAATGCATCATGGGTATGGCCTGGTGGATCTGACTGGCAGTTTGCAAATCCAGGAGACAACATAATCAGTGACTGCAAAAACTGGTACAACACACCCAACTAGCTGTACAACATGTTGAACTTTATAAGTGATAAAATACCCTAACATCTTGTCCCTTTTTGTTTTCCTATATTTCTCTCATTATTTCAGTTCATGTAAGGCTGGAGTTCTGCAGTGTCAGTCTTTGCCTGGTTGCCATGTCGATGGTGGCTGGAGCCAATGGGGAACCTGGACTGAGTGCTCAGTTCCTTGTGGTGGAGGAGTGAAATTCAGGAGACGTCTGTGTGATAATCCTTCTCCTCAGAGTGGTGGAAGAGGCTGCCTGGGTGTTGCTGAGCAGCAAAAAAACTGCAACTTATACATGTGCACAGGTATTTATGTCATGTGTTGTTAGTCCAAATTAAAACATAAGCTTTAAGAATGTCAGTGTAGTGAAACCTGAGAAGTTTAATTTTCACAGTACTGTTTGAAAACAGAAGATGCTTTCATTCCTCTTGGTAATTTGAGCAGCACATGCACAAACAACCATATTCAAAATGATTAAACTGTTGGTTACTTTAGTTTTTTTTTAAAACGAAGAAGATATTTTTGTATTACAACTACTGATAAAAGCATACAAATCCTAATAATCATAATCAGTAGCCACAACAATCTTGGTAGCAGACCGTGCTGGAAGAGTCAGGCCTTGAACTTTCCTGGTAATCCTGACCTGTTGATCTTTCTCAGCCATTCATCTGCCTGTTTCTCTGTTCTGGTAACATTGCTCCTGGTCCGTGAGAGATGCGTTGTATCACTTCCCTAGGAACTTTATTGGGTTTTCCTTGATCAACGGTATAGTCTCCCCCTGAATTTGTAGCTGGAACTTGCTTGTCACTCTTCCATTTCTGATCACTATGCACCTCAATTTTCTTGACTTGAACTGCATTCGAGCCGAGGTTGCCACATCATCAAGTGCCCTAAGGATCCATCTTGCTTGTACGTGGGTTGAAGTTGTTATGGTGAAGTCATCCATAAAGCCTCTTATTGGAAGTTGGTGGGTGCTGGACTACATTAATTAATGGCCCTTTGTACTCCTTTCCTGCTGCTGTTATGAGCAGGTTCATTGCCCATGACAAACAAGATGGGAGAGATGGTGCAGCCCGTTACAATTCCCTTCTCAAAGTCCTGCCACTGAATTGTGAAATGGGCTGTCTTGAACCGTAGCTTAAATCCTTTGAAGTAGCTGGAGATCATTCCCCCGATTGGGTCGGGTTTATGGTAGTGTTTCATAGCCACGTTGATGAGGTCATGAGGGATTGATCCGCATACGTTGGCCAAGTTGAGCCAGACAACTGTTAGGGTTCCTTTGCTCTCCTTAGCCCCCCAGATCAGCTGGTTGAGGGCTCAAGTATGTTCCAAGCACCCAGAGAAGCCTTGGATGCCGCCTTTCTGGACTGATGTGTCGACATATCTGTTCTTCACCATATAGGTGGTCATTCTTTTTGCCTGGACAGAGAAGAATATCTTGCACTCGACACTTAGGAAGAACTGACTGACTGACTGATGTCGGAGGAGTCAATTTCTTTGGGTACAAAACACCACTCCACTCTTTTCCAAGGCGATGGAATGATGCCTTTTGTCCATATCCTCCGCAACAATATTGATACATCGCGATGAGTTTTTACAGGTTTCGTCAATGACCAAAGAGGGACTTTAAATCATGTCACTGTCTTTCACTATGCAGTCTTGCCATCACAACTCTGTGTTTTTGCCTCCAGACTCAGCGGGCCCGTGGCTGGCCTGGTCTCAGTGGTCAGTATGTTCGGTCAGCTGTGGTGGAGGGCAGCAGTCCCGCTCTCGCTTCTGCAGCTCTCCGCCTTGCAGTGGCCCCAGTCGGCAGAGCAAAACATGCAACACCCACGTCTGCCTTGGTGAGTTGAATTATACCTTAAATCAATTGTATGGCGCATGCTCACGTTCCAAACCATCTCTAATTTGAGAATTGCCTTTTAATGTCTTCAATCCTTATCACTGTGCTAACGTCCTGTGGTTGTTCAGATGTGGGCTGCCCTCCTGGCAGGCTGTACAGGGAGTGTGAACGAGGTGAAGGCTGTCCCTTCAGCTGTGCTCAGGTCAGCGGCAGGGTGGGCTGCTATTCTGATGGTTGCGAAGAAGGCTGCCACTGTCCTCCGCATACCTACCAACACCACGGAATCTGCATGCTGGTAGGTTCTAAGCAATTTAAACATCCTGGTAGTCTTGTGACAGATTCTAATACTGGTTTTATCAAGCTGTGCCACAGAATACAGCTTTGATAAATTTACATAAAACTGAAACAAAACTTCCAAAAGACTGTTGAATCTTTGTAATTTGTGTGTTTCAGGAGTGTCCGTGTCTGGTGGATAAAGAGTTTCTGACTTCTCTGCAGAGTGTCTCTGTCACACCAGTCTCAGTTCTAATAATTCAGAACATCTCAGAGGGGATGGAGCTCCAGTCTGGGGATACCTTTGTCCATGACTGCAGCACCTGGTAAACAATAAATCTGGCAAATACTGATGGCATTACATATGGTCTCCTGATTTTGGGCAATTAGAGGGTATATGTAGATCCCTGAAATGTCCAAAACAGAAACAGGATCTTCATAATTAGTTCCTTGTTGAATATCATAATAAAGCACTACCTGTTGCCTATCAAGTCTTAAACATACTATAACATGAAGCTGCAAAATTGTGGCGCCATGTCTACATTTCTAACTTTTGAGTTATTGCCATGATTATCATTGCTATGACAGCCAAACTCTTAAGTTCACTAGAACCACGCCTCAGTCCCCCATCCTTCTGTTCCCTGTAGTGGCTGTGAGCACGGCAGGTGGAACTGTTCCTTGGAGCACTGCCCAGTCGATGGCGCTTTGTCGCCCTGGGGTCCCTGGAGTCCCTGCTCACTGTCCTGCGGTGGTCTCGGACTGAAGACTCGCTCTAGGGGCTGCACAAACCCTGCCCCAGTACATGGAGGGCGAGACTGCCAGGGCCCACGCCAGGAAACAACCTACTGCCAGGCCCCTGACTGTCCAGGTACGGGCCTTAATTTACACAGAGGTGGTGCTATGTGTAGTGGGTGTGCTTAAGGATGCAGAAATGAAACTTTGTTGATGATGTTGGTCATGGAATGACGACTGAATTTTTGATTTTGCTTTTTGGCAGTTGTTGTTGTTCCAACAGAAGAACCGACCTTACCAGGTGAAATACCAGCCTTATATCATGCCTGTTGAACCATTTGTGTTTTTTCAGCTTTTTACTCATGTCATTCTCTGACTTCAGCATCCACTCACTTTCCTGTTGTCTGTATTTGCCTTTTTTATTTGCCTGAACTGTTTTGTACATGATGGTTTTATTTTTCCTCATGAGTCACCAAGTTTGTATTTAAATGCCTTTTTCGTATTGACTGCTCTTTCCTCCTCACTCTCATTTAGATGAGGATTCTGGCTTCTCCCCTTGGTCAATGTGGAGTCCCTGCACTAAGACCTGCACTGATACTCTGAACCCAGCCATGAAGTCCCGTCATAGGCAATGTATCACACCTCCCTGCTCTGGAAGTTCTCACCAAGAGAAGGCCTGCAACTTGCCCCAGTGTCCAGGTAGGACCGCCACTCACATCCACACTCAGTCTTTCCGTTTACCATTCAAAATACGGTAAATGTGAATGTCACATACTGAATGTGTATCTCTGTTGGTTATTACAATAATACTAACTTAATTGACACGTAATGAAATTCTCATTCTTATGATTCAAGCATGATTCATCCATTATCTATACACCGCTTAATCCTCACTAGGGTCGTGGGGGGGTGGAGTCTATCCCAGCCGACTTAGGGCGAAGGCAGGGGACACCCTGGACAAGTTGCCAGTCTATCACAGGGCTATACTTAGAGACAGACAACCAAGCACACTCACATTCACACCTACGGACAATTTAGAATCAACAATTAACCTCAACATGCTTTTGGACTGTGTGGGAGGAAGCTGGAGAACCCGGAGAGAACCCACGCTGCATGGGCGGGGAGAACATGCAAACTCCACGCAGAAAGATTCCGGTGGTGTCCGCACCAGGACGCGAACCGGCAACCTTCTTGCTGCGAGGCAACAGTGCTAACCAACTGCGCCACCCTGCAGCCCAAGCATGATTCAGTCTAGTCTAATGTGATTGTTACATCCCTGTGACCTAGGGGATAAGGGGAGGAACAAAAGATGTACTAAAAGCTGGTTTAAAGGAAGAGGAATTTGATTATGGAATGAAAAAAAAAACCTTTTCATTCACAATTAAAGCCATAACTTAATCAGCTAAAAGCAAGCTTTTTAGAAAAACAAAATGATGTAACCAATGCAAAGTCTCTAAAAGAACCACACAGACTTGGCTGAGGCAAGACACTGATACCAAACAGCTCACTTGCTGCCGATCTGGCCTGCTGGCAACAATGATCAGGGCTGCCTGTCTTTTGAGCTCCACCGTAAGTGCAGAGTGGCCACAGGTGTGATAGGCCACTTCTACTGCTTCTCAGGGTGTGCAACCTGAAAAGCAAAAAAGAAAAAAAACACAGACAACCTACCTACACACATATAGAGCACTGAGGGCTGTACCAGTGACAGTGTTTTAAAGCTGTGTACAGTTTAATTACTAGATACTTGCACAATCATTATAAATTCTATAAATAAATTGCTTACATTATTAGAAAACTGTAATTACAAATGTAAGAAATAGAAAAGAGGATGAGACACCAGCAATTAAAGCAATGGCATCACAGTTAGTAAAAAAAACCCCAACAACACACAGACGTATTTAATTACTGTATCAAGCAGTCTTGTGCCTTTTTATGTTTCCTTATGAAGGCGAGGTATGTGTAGGGGCCGACTGTGTGCAGAGAAACTGCTCGTGGACAGAGTGGGGGGCGTGGGGCTCCTGTTCGCGGTCCTGCGGAGTGGGTCAGCAGCAGAGGATCCGAACCTTCCTCATTCCTGGCACTAATGGTTCATGGTGTGAGGACATCCTTGGAGGGAACCTGGAGCATCGCTTCTGTAACATCAAGCCCTGCAGAGGTCAGTGAGAAAGAACAGCATTTGGAGTCCAATTGTGATTTTCAGTTCATAATGGTTGGTAAATGGAAATAGATGTCTCAGTCAACACAGTTGTCTGCTCAACATTTGGGATTATCCAGCATTCTTCCTGTAGGATATTTGGTGTGCAGCTACTAATTTCCAAATCTATTTGTTTTCTCCCTCGTATAAAAAACAAACTTTTCACTTGAAAAGTTCTTGAGATATGAAGTCCTTTACAGTAGATCTGGATGAAGAAATGATAGTGATATCTATGATGCACTTCATCAATAGCAATAAGAAAATTGTTTGGAACAAATGTTTATTGTTTCACTTAAATGTTTTCAATGCAAGCCACAATGACAACACTGTGTCTCATCATAGGAATTAGGAAGGCACAATTAAGACAAATATAAACACTTATAAAACATATTTACAAGTCCTTACACTCTTGATTTAAGTAATAAAAGTAGCTTTTAATCATCAAGCTAAAATATTGAAGAAAGAAGAGTTGTAAAATTCAAAATAAAGTGGTTAAATTCAACTATATTTTATTGGCCTTTATTAAAAGGAGGAATTTTATTGTGATAGGTTTTTAGCTGAATTTCTAAGCCCTACTTTACACTGTCTTGCCTGCTTGTGTATGTGTCTGGATGGTGTAGTGGATGGAGGCTGGTCCCGGTGGAGTCCCTGGTCTCGCTGTGATAAGCGCTGTGGTGGTGGGCGCTCCATACGCACTCGCTCCTGCTCCAGCCCCCCACCCAAGAACGGTGGGAAGAAATGTGAAGGAGAGAAGAACCAGGTCAAACCCTGTAACACCAAACCTTGTGGTGAGACTGACCAAACATGCACACACATGTCCTGTTCAGATCACTGTGACCTTAGGGTTAGTTCATGCTATGCATGGTTGAATGCTCATTAATTCAGCATATGCCTATTTTCTTGGGCGATTCTTTGTGTTCAAAAAGTCAGCACAGCCTGCGATCAGCATTTTTGGTGAGGCACTTTACATGAAGACAGTGCCTGCAGCATCATGGGAAAATTCATGACCTTCTGCTTATGTATTGTCAGATGAAGCAGGGTGCCCACTGGGCCAAGAGTTCGTGTTGTGTGCCAACCAGTGTCCACAGCGCTGCTCCGACCTCCAGCAGGGTATAGAGTGCCAGGGCAACAACGAATGTCAACCTGGCTGTCGCTGCCCTAAAGGTGCCGTCATTTTATTAAAAGATATGCCTTTTTAAATTTGTGTGTGCATGCTTGCATATCTGAATGTTTTTTTTTTTCCCTGAAGCACCTGTGCTAGTTGATATTCAACAAGAAAGAATGTATGTGTTTGTGTGTGCATTTGTGTTCATGTGTACACAACATGATTATCTGAACTAACCCTGGTACTGGTAACCCACAACTTGTAAAAGTGAACTTTCAAAGCAGCTTTAAAGGGTCAGTTTACCTAAAGTACAAACATATTTTTTCACACTTATCTGTGATATTTTCTGTCCCTTTAAATACTTGGGGTTTATTTGTTGAAGTTTTGAGGTATTGGTAGCTGAGATGTTGTCCCTGCATCACTACAGTGGAAATTAACTCAACTTAAAGATGCTATATGAAATTCTTTTATTTCAGCAATGGATCTCATGGCTGTTTGTATGTGTCGGGCGTTTGAAGAAAATGTTTTAAGGCGTTTTGGCTGTAACTCAATGTGGCCCACCGGTCCAGAGCTGTTCACAAGACACACAGTTAGAAAGTCTCTGATGAACTTTTGGGTTTGGTAGAGACAAAATGAACTAAAAGAACTGCTGGCAGAATACACAGCTCCAAATAAATAATAACATTGCTGTGTGTCTACTGGATGTGCAAACAGGGAGCTGTTTGCTAACAGATGAGCTTTTTCAAAGATGGATCATTTGCTTTAATTTGATTGTTTATTTGATGTGGACATCACAATGACATTGGACAAACCAGATGCATTGTTTGAGTGTTTTAGCACTTGTGCTAATTCGAAGAACTTGTCCACAAGAGCTTTTGAAATGCTAAAAACAGCGAAGTTAATAGGAGAAAAAAAACGAGAGAGAAAAAAATACAGTGTACAATAACATTACAACAGTAAAAGAGAGGCAGTTTATCAGATATAAGCCATTCTTGTGTTTAAAACTTGTTCGTGTGATTTTAAAATTGTGGTAATGCTGATTTAATTACTCCTAATCTGAAAATAAGAAGATGGTGTATATTTTTTTTTAAGTATTAATAAAAACAGCTTGCCTGACGAAACTTCTCCAGACATGTGAAAAAAATCTGCGCTTTCAGTAAACTGATGTAAAGGTACTGCTGCACTTTAATGAAATTGGCCCTAACAAACCTTACTGAAACACTTGTCTCTTCAGTAACATAAGACATAGTGTAAATCATATGTGTATGTGTGTGTTCAGGTCAGTTGCAGCAGGACGGAGTGTGTGTGCAGCTGTGGCAGTGTGACTGTGTGGACTCACTGGGGCAGATTTGGGCGGCCGGCAGCTGGCATCAGGTGGACTGTAACAACTGCAGCTGCACTGATGGACAGCTTCTCTGCACCAATCACAGCTGCCAAGCTGCCTGTGTTTGGAGCTCCTGGTCCAGTTGGGCACCATGCAGTGTTTCATGTGGGGAGGGCCGTAGAACCAGATACAGGTGAGTAAAAGACACTCACTGAATAATAATAGCTTATACTTATTGAAACACCCATATGAGAACAGGTTATTTTGCGCTTTGACCAGGTCACAATCCAGACCTGAATCTAAATGCTGTGGCTGGACCTGAAGTATGTAGTATGTGCAAGATGCCCTACCAAAATCTACTAAAGCTGATGTGAGATGCCGATTATTTGCTTTGGAAGATGTTTATTTGAAGTAAATGCTCATCAGTTGTTGTCATCCTCTAATTATATATCAAATCATGATCTAGACTACTAAGTGCAAATGGAAGCCTGCAGTGCTGTGCAGATGTTTTAGCCACTTTCTTCTCTAGATTAAGTCTGTCTCAGTGTTTTCTATCTCTTCATGCGATCCCAGGCTGACTTCAGGATGTTCAGATCAGGGTTTTGTAGGAGCATTGCCATGATGCTGGACACCGTGTTCTCATTGCAGAAGATAGTTCTTTTTGACTATGGCTGTGTGTTTTTGGCATGGTACACAATGAAGTTGCCTTTCTGATGGCATGGTGTGATAGATAGGAATGCAGACATCTTAAGTTTTCCACAGTGCTCTATATTTTAAAGGCAGCTTCTATATTCTCCCCCAAAAAAACATATTTAAAGAATTGCAACAGCAGCTTTTACAGAAACAGTGCAGTGCAAACAGTAATGCATTACAGCAGAATACATGGGAGTGGTGGGGTCAGTGAGAGTCAGTGTTCATTAGTCTCTCAGCATGTTGTCCTGGCCTGGATATCACACAACATCTTTCCTGAGGGGAGGGGCACGAGCAGACCATGAGCAGGATGTGTACACTACTAGATGATATTGGTGGCCTTTTCCTGCACTACATGGCGTATATTCACCAATGGTGGTTAGACTGGCACTGGTAATCCTCTGGGCACTTTGCTCCCTTCACGGTGATGTTAGCTTTGCAGCAAAGCAGCTGCCCTACCAGACAGTGAAACAGGATGGGAGAAAGTTCATGTCTGTGAAAGGAATTGTTACGTCACGTAGTAGAGGCTTTGATTGGCCTTTTATTATTGTGTGTGTGAGGTGTTTGTAGACCACTTTAGGCTGTCTGTGACTGAGCAGTCACGGATCAGTAGCATGTACAGTATAGTACTTAGGACAGTGCCTGTGTTGACAGTGATTTGGGTTTTAAAAAAAAAACTGTGATGGATATTGACTGACTGGGATTTTGGTAAAAAAAAAAAAAACCCAAGATGTAAAAGCTTGACTGCCAGTGGTGACTGAGGGTTGATTGTGATAAAGCTGAAGCTGAAATCCCGGAACAGCAGTCTGATGTACATGTTCTTGGACATCCTAAGAGCTTCAGTAGATGACGACTGAACTTCTCTTTCTTTGGTTCATCTCTCATCCAAGAGGTGAAACCTTATCAGAAATCAAAAAAAGAGAAGTCCAGTTGCTGCTCCTGAAGTTTTTTTGCATTAAAATTGACCTGAATGGCCACTGTTCTACAAAGATAGATTCTTTAACAGTTCATAATGACTTTGACTGAATGTTTGGTCATTTTGTGGCCATAAATCTTTTAAATCAATTTAGTTTTGATTTTCAGTGATCTGCTGCGTGACTTAGGGTGAGGAAAAAATGACTGACAGTTTGTCCTTGTTGTATGTAGGTCTCTGATCCCAGAAACTGAAGGAATAGACTGCCACTTTGAGGAAGTCCAGCACAAATCCTGTAGCCCAGGACCCTGTCCACCTCTCTGTCTCCTTGATGACCAGGAGCTTAGTGTGGGAGACACTTGGCTCCAAGGAGAGTGTAAACAATGGTGAGATAGATAGAGACCCCACAGAATATCTGAATATAAGAACATTTGACTGATGGTTTTCACTGGTTTAAGAGTTTCCACTTTGTGTTTCAAGCACTCTCTACTTTGTTTTGCATCCTAGCACATGCACCCCAGAAGGGGTTTACTGCCAAGACATCGACTGCAGAGGTAGGTCACTGTTTTTATTTTGATGACCAAGAGTACATACAGTACGCCTAAGTATGGTAGAATAACAACAACACTACTACAGATGTGTGGAAGTTTGGATTTTGGTATGCATCCAATGACCAAATGTTTTGTACTGTTTCCAGTGGACGGTGGTTGGACCCCTTGGTCAGTGTGGTCTGACTGCTCGGTGACCTGTGGACAGGGCACACATGTTCGAACTCGTGCGTGTATCAACCCACCACCACGTAACAATGGGTCTCACTGCACCGGGCCAGAGAGAGAAACCCAACATTGTCAGACCTCTCCCTGCCTTGGTTAGTCCTGTCTCAGGGTCACAATTTATTTATTTTTTATTTTCGTATCAGTTAATTTTTAATCATCTAAAAATGTAGCTGTTACCAAATATCCGCCACACATTATTTCTATTTTTAATGTTTTTATATGTACTGCACTGTATAATGTATGAACTACATGCTTAATCCTAAAAAATGTGTCAATGAACAAGTTTTATGAAGTAAAATGCAGTTGATACTTCCTCTTATCTTACTGACCCCCTTGTCTATAGATGACCTCTGCCCCTGGTCACCATGGTCGCCGTGCTCCCGGAGCTGTGGGGCGGGGTCTGTGTCACGACGCAGGGTGTGTGTGTGTGAGGAGGGAGGAGACGCAGCGTGTCCCTCTGAGATCGAGAATGAGAGGAACAGTGAGGAGACTCAGCTGTGTTACAAACGGCCCTGTCCAGGTACTTACTGATAAATGTCAACACAGGGTCATTCTGGCAGTGGTCAGTTAGGTAAAGTAAAAATGTACCTAACTGTTCTTTAAAATTGTAAAGTTTCTGTGTGTGTGATTTTGTTGTTGCCACAGTTGGACATAGTTGCAGTGTTAGTTATT